CACAAGCGAATGGCACGGTAGAACGTTCCCATCCGCAGCCGAAAGCTACTCTCTCAGCTGCGAACATACATCAGTGGACCGAAGCTTCGCCTTTAGTCCTGCAGGGCATTCATAACGTATTGAAAGCTGATGCTGGATGCACCTCCGCAGAACTCGTCTATGGGACCGCTCTACACCTACCAGGTGGGTTTGTTTCCATTTCAATTTTCAAACATGTTTCCGACAGGGCATCTTAAGGGACTATGCTTACAAATGCAGTGCGTTCAGTTAAGCCTTCTCCGGTTAGACCTCAAATGACTATTGTCTTCGTTCACCCCGTCTAGCAAATGACATCATACCTGGTCATTCGTCGACCACTTGAATGATCTTACGATAAACCATTCAAAGCGATCAAGCGACATGAGAAATTCTATCTGATGGAGCAAAACAGGCGTGAATATACCGTTAGTATGGATCGTTTGAGACCAGCTTATTCCGAAGGCAACCCCATCATAAGTGACGTTTCAGCCCGCTACAGCCGATGGCGGATAGCCCAATTATCGAAATTCTTGACGATTTGCCTGGTAATGCACAGTTACAACAACCATCGGAGCAACAGAAAACAAGATCAGGTCGAACCGTCAGGTTCTCGTAGTATTTGAAGTCGTATTCGGCTTAGCAGTATGAAATAAAATGTCTCAACCTTGTTTTTTTTAATTCAAATTTTTTTTTCGGGGCATTATTTTTCTTATATACCGGCAATGCGAAAATCTTTCTACATTTTACCTTTTTTGGTACCAATTTTTACTACCACGCAATCATACCTTTTCAAAAAACAAAGTGGAAACAGGCATGAAATCTATTTTCGATATATTTATATATAAATAATTCCCATTTTTACGAAACGTTTAAGTGGTATTAAAGACTTTTATTTGTATTCCAGGTGTAACGAGCACTGAACGGAACGTCAAAGGACACTGAGGATAGCGATCGACGTACAATTCGATTCATTGCATTTTATTTTTCATTCGCTACGACACCTTAGAATAAGTTCAAACAACCAGGGGCCACTTCTCGCAGCGAGCCCATCGAAAGAGTTTCACCAGTGGAGAAACCACTTGGTTTCTACTTCCGGCTGGTATCGTCTTAGGGTCGTTACGAACCCACTAGAGGGGGGGGGTGATCTGTAGCGTCACACACTTCCCCGAAATCAATAGCTTAGGGTTTGACGAGATCCAACATTGATGCTGATCTTCATATTTTAACTGAACTCGCTAAGCTGAAGGCACCCGGTCAAGCATCCTCGCCATTTGGCACGCTGTCATGTTATATTGGACTGCTCGTTTTCGACTCTCCAGGCAGTTAGTTAAAACACATCGGTATCTTGGCCAGACCTCGCAAATATACTATTCCATCCGACTACGCTGTTGTGTTCTTCCTTGGTCTCGTATTTGTGGGTATATAACAATTTCGAATAATTAGTGATTGGTCTTTGCTTCTGACAAGTTTGCACCAGCAGAAATCTTAAAATGCGAGTTGGAGTTTTGTTATACTTAGAGTACCTAACAGACATCGTAGTAGGATAACCTCCGATACATTCATGATATATATATATATATATATATATATATATATATATATATATATATATATATATATCATTGGTACGCTTCTAACTAAAAACTAATCGGAAGAAGTAAATATTGGATTAAAAGCCGGCTGGGACCTTTCGGAAGCAGATAAGATGACAGGAACTTATACACCCTTCACGATGGCCAATCCTACTTATGAACAATAACTTCAGTAGGCACATCGGTTTTCTTAATCACACTGTGGACAAGGAGGAGATTGAACCATATTTCACAGGATTTCGTGAAATGACTTCGAACCTGATCTATTTTCTCTTTTACTTCTCATCAGGTTAAAATACCTCAGGGGATAAGAAAGGGGATACGAAAGTCAAAGAGGAATATTGTCCTCTCAGGACACAGGTTCTCGCGTTGTGTAATCACCTCTTGAAGTCATCTACCCGAAGAAGTGGTGTTTATCATCAATTGAACCATTTCAGAAAGAGGACTGGACAACAAGAGGTCTTCTGGAAAGGGGTTTATGAAGGCTTTTGGTCTTCTATGCTTAAAACGTCACAAATCGAAAATCTAATTTTTGCCATGTCACTTTGCTTTGCTTTTTTCATCTACTTCAGGCCACACAATCCCTTTTTTCCTCACTTTATTCTACTTTTCCCATTTTTGCTGTCTACTTTTTTCACTGAAGCTGCTAATTGCTCCCTTTCTTTCTAATTTGCCTTGTTAGTATGTCTTTGCTCCTGGCCCGTGAACTGAAGCTGGCAGCTGTCTTAACAGAACTTTACTTTATAATATTTGAAATGCATTTAGTACATGGTAACAATTTTTTAACTGTTATTTTCTTCTCCTTCTCCCTCATTCCGTGTCACTTGTTGTCCAATCAAAATGGACGAGGAAACATCCTATGTTATTGGTTGCACAAAATCGAAAAGTACTATAAAGGGGAAGGAAGGGTTGCTTTATTTTCATGATAATCGATGAAACTGTCCAAAGTGTTGTAACCGAGAACGAACCAGTCTTTATGGAGCATTTTTGTCTCGCCACATTTCCGTCCTTACAGTCTTTGAAGGTTTCCCTAAAGGAGTATGAGAAGTAGACGTACGCTCACTACTTTGTACAAGATTAACATTTGCAAGGTGACCGAAGAGCTTACGTCAATTTTTTCGGCTTTAAGGCTAGTGAATGCCAGTCAATAGGCGCTGTAGTGGCAAGAAGGTCTGATTATATTTCGTAGAATATCCCTGAAATGTTCTTGTCAGGCGTTGGTGGTCGCGAAGTTCTTAGAAGGTTTCTGGACAGTAACGCGGTGGCGGTTAACTCACAATCATCCCTGCAATTCTCTGGTTTACAACAATTGTTCATGTGCGCGAAAGTTTATGGGACCTGAATTGGAGAGGATAAGGCCATTGCTAATATCCAGGACGGCTGCACTTAATGCTGTTGATTTCGTTTATGCACACTATGGTAAACGGTTGAATAACCAAGATATGTTCAGTAGGCGTTATCATCTATTCATTCAGTGTAATTTGACCGGTAATTGAATTTATCTGTGAAACGATGTTGTTGTAGGCAGTTGTGAAAAGTTGCAGGGACGAATAACCAGTCAAGGTGGATCAGCATTTTTCTCTGTCACAGAGGGTGGAGATCTGGAATTCTTTTTTGCGCCACAGTCGATTAGCTGAAATTAGCTGGAAACTACCTTGATTTTCTGGATCTCGATGGCACTTACAAGACTGATAATGAGAACCTTTTTCTCCACGAGTTAGTAACCATCGAAATTAACTTCATGACTATTCTTTTAGCTTTTGCTTTCATAAGCAGTGAAACATCAGAACTGATTGGTGCATTTCTGAGATTTTTAATAATATTATTGGAAGCCGAGAAGTGGGTGCCTTCATAACAGATGACTCTCCTGCAATTTCATATGCATTATGCCAAGTTTTTCCGCACTCACATCACCTCCTGTGTCGTGTGCACATCATTAGTAACGTGATCAAAATGGTAAGCATGTGTACCGAATTATAGCAAAAATTTTAATGTTTACAGGGATTACAACAGGAAGTGCTGCAGTACTTCTTTGAATGTTGTACTTAAAGAATATGGAGTGGTTAGTGTCTTTAAATGTATCTTATTTTTTGTAGCTTTGGAAGTTTTCTTGTTCACATAGAGTCTATGAATACAAAGTTTCACAGGTACTTAGTGTCCTAATTTTTACCTCCTAAGCACAGGTGGACTACGGCTTACCGTCCGCAAGGTGTTCTTTTGGAACAAAATAACACCAACTTAGTCGAAACAACACATCGTAAGTAGGAGCTCCATAAGCTGTATAGGAAAATACCAGTACGTCATGCAATATTTAGACTCATGCTGCTAAGCGATTACTGGATTCAGAGGCACAATCAGAAACTGCTGCGGGATTGCAACAATAAATGTGAGCTGGGTGATAATATTATCTTCTCGTCGCTATTCAGTAACCTAACGCCTTCAGCATGCCCACTCATTAAAAGAACATGCAAGTCAAAGTTTCTATTGACAGTCATCCAGATAAATTCATTGTAAGAGACATCACGGGAGTATTCTTTGTTTACCCACACCCTATAACGTGTAACTGAGGATTTCGCGTTGAGTACAACTTGCCATGCAGGCATACAATTAAGTACTACTTGCAAAGAAATATCCCCTTGGACGCAATTAACGTTCCTCTTTGTTGGCTGATGCGGAAGAATGAGCAGCACAATTTACCAGTGCAAAACTACATTCCACATTCCATTATGTGCAAACTTTCGATCAATAATTTTAAGATTTAGATTTCTCTGGAAACCCCATTTACAGTTACAAATTACACTCAATACATATTGATCTCGGTGACTACCAGGACGTGAGCTTCGTCCTACTCGGGACTCGTCAGCTGCATCTAGCAGCACCCCAGTGAGTGATATGGTTCCCACTATGGACAGAACTCAGTACCCATCGTTTAAACCGACAAAGCGTTATCCACTAAGTCGAGTCCTCTGTTAGTCACTGAGATCAATGGTACATCATGATACAGCAGTAGTATCAAAGCATCCGCAGAGGAGCCCATCGACCAGGAAAGGTCGAGCAATTCGGCCCTGTATAACAACAGGGAATTGCGATTATCACAACAACAATTACTCTCAATTAATTTTGAAATAGGCTCCCTGAAATATTACACAACATTTTCATTACAGAATTAAATTCTCTACAAATTTTTAATCCATTTTGGATTTAATCTTAACCTGATGACAATTAATTTCTTAAAGCAATTGATGTGGCAAGTGATGATGATTTTTATAAGCCAATCTGAATAGAGATAGCTTATCTAAGCCCAACTAATCAGATTACTACAAGTCAATGTCCTAGTCCAATAGGAAAGTACCTTGGCCACACAAACATATTGACCTTTAAACAGAGGAACCAGCCAATCATTTTTCATTTCCAATTTCTTTCTTCCACCCTAAATAAATTAGGTGGGAGAAGTGAGCCTGGTAATAAACATCAACCATAATGTTTGAAGGAAGTCACTACATTAAAAGAAAGAATTAAATTAAAGCGAAAAATGTATGAAAATACATTGCGCAAAATAAAGTTATCTTGAGACGTAAAAATAATCAAAGTTGAATATGAAAGGGAATACCATTTTTAGATTGTGTGTCACAAGTTATAACTTATAAAAAGCTACTGATTATTCTAGGATTAATAAAAATGATTACTTTGATGATAAAACTTGTAGTTTGCATTGAATTGGTTCTTGTGTAACTGGTATTGAACATATGTTGTTATCTAAATTATGAAACACGAATAAGTAAATTATCATTTAATTTTTAACAAATGGAAAACTGATAACAGAAAATGAGGCCAACAAATATGGAGTAAGATGGATTTACGTAGCCTATAACACACACACACACACAAGTATACAGGTACGTACTACGCCATTGCTTTTGGCATATGCAGCAGTATAAAGTCATAAGACCACAATCAAAGTATATTATAGACAAGGTATTCTAACTATCGTTATACATATGTATATAATCTGCTATGTATATATACCCGGTCTACTACATGTTATAAAATGAAGTTAGAAGAATTAGAATCAGAATCCATATAATGAACTAGGCTAAAAGTTGTGAGCAAGTTGCATGATTCTAAGCAAATTCAGTATCTTTGTTTATGATTGACAGATATGAACTACCAAGTGGACTATGTTGTGTCCAAAGTTGCTTTCATGAACAAGCTGAACTCTGTGCAATGTAACTCAGTAATCAAGTAGAAGTTCCTGTTCTGAGATGAAAGTCACCCCCTAATGTACCATTCAGAAAGATACACAAAAATGAAAAGATGCAGTGGAATTCAAACCTGTGACACTGGTATACAATCAAACTTCCTAATCGATGGGATACAGGTCTATTTTGTAGATGAGTTTATTTCATTTAAGGTTTGGCAGAAGGAAAGCCGTTAGGTGACCACTTGTTTTCTGATAACGTAAGCGACCTAATATAAAAGTTTGGACCGAAGGCTTACAGGGTTGGATAAAAGGTATAATCCGCTGATTGAGAAAATTGTTGGGTGTTTTCGTTTAGTTAAAATATTGAATATGTGGCTTATTTAACAGTAAAAATGTTGATTTTACATGCCAAAAAGTGCTGAAATTGTGAAAAGAAGTGAGAGTTATGTGCTAATAATGCGTGATGGCACGTAATTAGTTGTGATGTGCTTTTTTTTGCTGCAGAATGCCTGCATAATGTGTGAATCTTAGGTTGAAGCGCGCATTACAGAATACACCTAATGTTATTAAATGGTAGGAAGTCATCCAAGGGGTTGGTAGATACTAAGCCATTTTATAGAACTGAAGGTGAATGGAATTTTAATACCAACTCTGTTGTTCGTAATACATTGACTTACAGATAAGCGAAAATGCTGTAACAGAGAACACGTTGGTGACTGGTTGCTTCATCATTATACCAGCGCAAAGTTGCAAATTCCCGTTATTCACTTGTACCTAATGTCAAAATTTAATTTTAGGAGGATGGATGTTGAACTTGATGGCAGTTGAAGAAGAGTAACGGCAAATGGTCATTACAAACTTTGTAAAACTACCATTTATGCTATTCACCGAAATAAGCAATTTCCTAAATGCTGCAGTTTTCTGAAATGATAGTCTAAATAGGTTGTTGATAGTAGTTGAGAGCAATGTTGGTAGAGTAAACGGTTCAGACAGTCCACTGCATCATCATGACCCAGGTATACCATACGGCAGCAATCTGCGTGTAAGAAATGACAGTTAACTGTTACAGTTCTTGGGAGTTGAATGCACATCAACGTTCTGTCTGAGAAAGGTTTAAGTCATTGTTGTTTATCGCATTGTAAATTTTCTTCATGTCCATAACGTATGCGGCTGTTCTTCTGAAGGCCAACTGCGGGTGACTGTTTTCCTTTAATGTATGAAAATGCCAGCTCATTGTCGCCGCGTCTAACACAGAAAGATGAGTAGCATCCTATGTATTTAAACCTATAGGAATGCGAACTAACAATAAAGAAAGCGCATACGGGGTTCCCATTCTAATACCACTTGATATACTATACCTTTTCTGTCCAAAGATACAAATATATATCACAATATCATATCGTAGTACTGCGTTGCTGTCATTTCTCCGACTAACCTTCACTGTATAGTGCGCATGAGCCTCCTAGTATACAATAACCAGTTCATGAAGCCTGATTTCTTCTGTTACAGTACCTTATTGAACTTGATAAACGCTTCTTGGGATGCATCCCAACTACTAAAATGCTTGGACATCATAACTCTGTCAAACACTGCTGTCACATAGTCAGACATCTTCCCTACAGCTTAAACACTATCTTTAGGCTATTATCACACTAAACAAAACAACCACTTCGTAGAACGCATATTAAAACTAACCAATCCACTGAGGCGAACGTGACCTAGAAGTAACAGAGTTATCGAGAGAAAAGACTGCTTCTTGTCAGTTTCTTTGTTGAACAAGAATTAGACATTCATTGTTCACGTGATCACCAACTCCCTTAAATTCTCAATAGGGATGCCAGTATTCATCTTCCTTCTTAGCAGCTGTTCGCAGATATAACTCACGGTTTCAATGAGAAGAACATTAGTAAATAAAGATGTCACATCGAGAGATGCCATACATTTATTTATAACATTTACGTTCCTTACTCTGTTTATAAATTTGGAGGGGTCCTTAACACTATATCTGACTAGCTCTCCCCGTAAAGGCTGTAGCATTTTTACTAGCCATTTTGCAATCCCACGGTAAGGCGAATGTGACATGTTTAAGATAAGGGCCAGTGGTACTTCAGTTTTATGTATCTCTGGTGAGCCATATATATACGCGGAATCGTACTGCAGGTCATCCGTAAAACTTCGCTTAAGTGTCGCATTTCAGCATTATTTCCGCATTCCTAATCAATGCATTGACCCGCGTTATTTCCGCATTCCCAAGCATTATTTCGCCATTCGTGTGTGACTGGGTGGTAAGCAAAGGGTGAGATCAAACCCATTAGAAGTTCTATACTAGCACATCTAATAGACACAGGACACCAAATAGATGCTCGCACAGCTTCCACTGTGATACTCCACTTTACGAAGACTCTGCCACGTCCCATTCGTTTACGCATTCTCCATATAGCGGGAGCTGTGGTTATCAGATCAATAAAGTATTCAAAAAGAATACGCCAAGCCGTTCTCCTCCCTTGGCTTTCCATTGACTAGACAGTATTCCCTCAAACCTTTTGTTTCTCTCTTAATCTTTTTTTCTTTGCAAAATAAAAACGAAATTATTATCATTATTAATAATGCTATTATTTTTAACCAGACTTCGCTCCCGTCTTAATATAATAAAACTTGAAAATTCCTGTTAAATTTTTTCATATTATTACTACTCTCAATATTTTATTCGTTTCACATATTAACCATCTTATGATGACATATCCACCCCATTTCTGCCCTCACGTAAATTTCATGTCATTCTTTGTATCAATCACACATTCGAAACTATCCAGCCTTAAACTTTATGGATAATTTTCCTTCCCCATACTTCTGTTCACCAATCAACTGACAAAGTTTACAATCAACTAATCACCACAGTTGACTTACTTATATAAATCACACTACCACCCACAATCTTGAAGTGTCAAATTTTAATCATAATTCCATACTCATTCCTAAATATATTCGCCGTAAATTCTGGCTGTTAATATGTAAAGCGAACAATATTGTTTTCAACTAGATCCTCTTCAGTCTCTAGTAGCTTATATATATATATATATATATATATATATATATATATATATATATATATATATATATATATATATAATATTATATTATTATATAAAAAATTAAATCAGTCATGTGGATTTGTTGGTTAATGTGATAAATAATTAAAAATAACGATGGTGATAATGGCAAATCAGCATCAAGATTCCTGTACACATCCTCAGAAAGTTGCTTCTCAAATGTACTATGAATGTACATTTTATCTTCAATAGCTCTCATTATAGACAGGTTGATGGGATAGCTATGGGTTCACCGCTCGGCTCTTTTATAGCTGATATATTTCTTGCCAAACTGGAGAACGGAGTATTGAAAGAGGTCATTAATAAGATGACTATGTATCACCGTTATATATTCATTATCCCGTATCAAAATGTGGATGCAAACGAGGAGTTAAGAAAATTTAATGAACTGTACCCTTCACTCACTTTCAATTGTGAGGAAGAAAATGCCAGTAAACTACACTTCTTGGATGTCTTGCTAAGCAGCAAATGTGTTTACAGGACGACTACATCTATAAGTCAGTACACACATTTTCTAAGTCATGTATCAATTCGGTACAAATCAAACCTGGTTGAATACCGCACTAACAGCAAGAAAAATATTCTCGGATGATCTAGTACAGGAGTCAGATTATATTCGTAATTTATTGGTTGAGATGGGCTACCCTAACAGTTTCATAAGAAGACACATGGACAAAGCCAGAGGGAACAGACCTGGAACTATTACCATTCAAAAGAAGCCGTTGTTTATGAAATTGCAATTTAATAGGGATGTGGCCGGAGTCGTTTTATATCAGATACTCTCTAGAGTCATTTAGAGGACTTTCTATATCGCACAACTCTGTCTATCATTTTCCGGTCGAGCGTTTGTTGTTGCTCAGATAAGAGATAAGGCATCTAGTTTTACCATTTCTATGCCTATTTACAAGTTTAGCTGCTCCTGTGGAGAAAGCTAAATAGGGCGTACTACTAGACAACTTAACAAACGTGTTGCTGAGCATCTACCTTCATGGTTGGGAAACGAACAGATAAAATCCATCAGGAGCTCGGTTTTATCTCACCTCGTTGATAGTGGTCACTTGGTAAACAAGAACAATGCTTCCACGATTATTCACCGCATACCATCTCATCTTTCGAAAGGTATTCAAACTCATCTCTTAAACGTAGCTCAAGCTGTGGGAATTTGAGCTAATAATCCTAGGCCTCGTATCCAGAAGAAATTCGTACATCCTTTATCTCTCACTTGGTCAGGGTATACTTAGTTAATATTGTCATCAGACTATCTACCATAGTTTGGCAGACTAGTAGTGATAGTTAATAACGTTATTATTATTATTATTATTTATCCCTTGGGTTCCTAGTATAACATAGGGCTTCAGGAGCACGTAGCCACTTCAATCTGTTCTCTGCAATCTTTTGAAACTGGCTCCAAAACTGCCCACAAGCTTTCATTTCTTCCTCACACTATCTCCTCCATGTCACCATCGGACGCCCAACTCGTCATTCCCCATCTAGGTTCCACTCGAGTGCCTGGCCTGGCGCGTGATATCCCCGAATGGTCTTCTCAGTGTATGCCCAATCCATCTCCACTTCCTTCCAATGCATATTTGATGGGCGATGGGTTCTTGAATGGTTCCTTACCACCCACCGAGAGTTGCTTGTTACGTATTCTTTCTGGTCTTCTCATCTGATCTTCAGTATCGAGTGAGTGTAGGTGGCAGCTGTTCATGATGTATGTCTGTTGTTTGTTGGAAATGCTTTTTGTAATGCACCAAGTCTCTGAACCATACAGAAACACTAACTTGACTAGATTGGTGTTGAAAATCCGGATCTTGTTTCACATGCTGAGTGCAGCTCTCCACACTTGTTTCAGGTTAATGAACGCCTGTCTTGCTTTTCCGATTTTGGCTTTGATGTCCTCGTCTGTGCTTGTGCCGCCTGTAGTTGAAACAGTGCTGCCTAGACAGGTGAAAGAGGCTATTTCCCTTAAGTTCCTCCCGTTGATGATGATTGGTGTTTGTTGTTGTTGCTGTTGCTGTTGGTAGGGCACCATCATCACCTCTGTCTTCTCTACGTTCACTTGAAGTCCCATCTTCGCTGCCTCTTCTGTCAACTTGTTAGTTTTCGCCTGTAGATAGTCGAGTTTGTGCGACATTAGACACAAGTCATTGGCGAAATCCAAATCTCTTAGGATCTTTTCCCCAGTCCAGCGTATTTTCCTCTTCTCGCTCCTCAGAGTTTCTTGCATGATTCAGTCCACCACAATCAGGTATATAATGGGTGATAGTAGACAGCCTTGTCTTACTCCTTCCTGTCTTCACTTCACTTCAGGAACATCACTGAGCTTCCCACTGTGAATTACTTGGCATGTGGCGTCTTCATATAGTTGTTGAATGAGGTTGATAAAGGTTTGCCGTATTCCATAGTGTTGGAGCAGTTGCCAGATTACATCTCGGTCGATGCTGTCAAAGGCCTTTTCAAAGTCGATGAAGATGAGGTAGAGAGTTGACTGCAATTCAATGCTCTGTTCTGTGATGATGAGTAGCGTTAATAACTTTACCATTCAGTTTTTTCTTACCCCTTTTCTTATTCTTCACCCCTTTCATATACTTACTGTATTTGTCTCGTCTTTGTTTATCCACTTACCTCGTCCTTCCGTATTACGGAACTTTTATTTTCACAAGCTTTTGAGCCACTTTGATTATCGGAGTGTCTACATTTCCATGCCGCTTTCTTGGTTCTCATCGTCATAGTCATCTATATTGCATGCACTTTAGTCAACGTTATCATTATTATTTGTATTATTATCACCTTCGCTATTTTATGACATTTATTACATCAACCGACATATCTACATGATTGGTTTAAGCTATTTGTATTCGAGTGAAGCCTGAAGGGGATCTAGTTCAAAACAATATTGTTCGCTTATATATCTTGTTCTAATTTACATGATGGAAAATTTTAAAACTACTAACATGTTAACGAAATTGATTGTATAACTGTAGAGCCTGATGAGAGTTTATTGAAAAGAATATTCTCCGTTCAAAATTGTATTTTAGAAATCAGAAAGAAGTGAGACACCATTATTGACAGGCGTCATTCGGTGGATACAGCTCAGCTGATAGCTCACCAGGAGCTGTAAGGCGCTTATAGGCGTTCGAAAACAGAACGTTTAACAGGGTGATGCACTTAACCGGCACCACTTTTAGTAAGAGACACTGCATCAGGACCTCTTGATTATTAGGGTCATATCCTGCTTTCATATTAGGAAATACACCTAGTGTAGAGTGCTGGTTAGCGTACCTCAGTTCCAAGAGCTGATGTGAGAGGATAAAGGGAATATTGGGTCGAAACACCCATTATCAAGTATGAAACCTGGTTGGCTTTTCTTTTCTTCGCCGTTGCCAAGGTTCACTTAGGCGTCCAATGTCTATCCAAACTAGAATCTTAGACACTCTTTCAGTCAGAGTGAAATCCTTGTGGTTATCATAGAAGAATTTCTCCCTTTTCTTGAAGAATGAGACAGTTAATGATTGAGACTAGTCGGAGCGGATCACATACGATTGGTATACGTTAATCTAGTCGCAAGTCATAGAACAGTGTTCTTCCTTCCCTTCCCTTCCACATTTAAGGCCTTCACAAATTCTCTGAACGTTGGAGTGCCTATCTTGGTGTTTCGTTCAGAATCTGACTGGATAGAAGGCAACTGAAGACTAGCTCAAAGCCAGTTGAACTGTTCTCTGAAGTATTCCACCCATCTTTTAGCCTATCGTCTCCTAACCATTCATTTTCTTGTCTCACTTTCCTTGATCAGTTTAAATAATTACCTATTACTATCTGTCGCTGCCGACACTATACATAAATTGAGCTTTCAGTACCCACCTCTGCTCACAATCATTGCTTAGGTACGTTTCAGTCTGTATTTAGGCTGCTTCCGCCCTTCATTGTGCATACAGCCTACTAATTTAGTAGAAGATACCCAGATTCATGGGCTCTTAAACAAATTTTAAGGTATCACTTAAGGCCCTTAATGTTGTTTTTACGACAGACTAAAGATGGCAGCAGGCTTTGTCACGAAAAATGACGTTATACTGTTCTTATAACTGTGCACCCAGTTTCTTATTGAAAGTAGCCTTAGAATTCCCATCATCGAGCTGCTCTTGCAGTGGTCTTGCAGTTGTGGTTTTCCCAAGTGTATTTAGGCGCAGACATATGGGTGCTGAAACCGACATGTAATCACCATCCAAATACGTGCTCCGAAAGGAGTGACAATATACTGTCGACCCTCTCCGATTAAAACTGACTGTAATATGGTGAATCTGTATCCACTGTTGAGTTTAGGTTGGTAGGCGCCTTGTCAGGCTATATCTCTCTTTCTGTATCGACCAGGAATAGAGGGTTGTCCGATTACAGCTGTCGCAAGTAATCATTCATATGCATTCGTCTGTGTGGATTACGAAAGTACCACACAAACGCCTTCCTGCTTGGTTTGACCCACCAATTTGTGCATTGAAACCACCTGTTACGATAACCACACCTAAACGTTTGGCTTATAGTTGGAAGCTAGACAGTTTTCGGTAAGACTTATATTTCACTTCTTCATCAGAAATAAAGTCAATGGTTGCATGGATAGAGATTACTAAGAGAAAACAGAGGCTTTCATCATTCGTTTAAGTCCCCTTGGCACCAGTCAGTCAGACATTATACAAGCAACCGTCAGCTGAAATCCAGTGGAGTGTATTTTCTACCTACACTGTTTTTGTAGTTGAATTGGATTCAGGAAAACTAGTACCTCAGAATGACACTGAAATAACAAGGATTGCAATTATGATATTTATATTTCAGTCATTCCAAAAATAGATCACACAACCAGTTCATTAAATATTTTTCCAGATAGGTCATTCAGGGTCATAACACAGCATTGATTGAATACCTGCATGTACTGCAGCAAAGACCAAATTTTATTTAAATGATAACCAATAAGATTATAGTATTTGTCAAAGACACAGAACAGCAATGATCAATAAGAATATCCTTAGTCATGACTGGGCCAGACCTTAGCTCTTACATTCATGACATATCTGTCTAGGCTGCCACAACTTACCACAAAGCCTTAAGACTTAACGCTATGTCCACACGTGTAAGAATGATACAACTGGTCGATGAGTGTGTAGAACTTCGAAGAGGGAATTTCGTAGATTCTCCATACTGTCTAGGTAAGGTTAGTTGAAAAATCATCCTAGGGGTTAATATGGATGTCTCAAAAACTCAGTAATCTTCAGTGGCTCGAAAGGTCATAGTTTTGTTGTTCATCCTAATACAAAGTGAGGACGTTGGAACTACGATATGTAGTTTGGAGAACGGTTTTAGGAGATCAAGGATGCTGTTTTGTCGAAGAAGTATCAGGGGTAGCGGAGGTGGTATGAATCAAAGACGATATAGAAATTTTGACCAAGAGGTGTGAAGAAAGATTAGAAGGCAAAGAACGTTCCACAGTGATCTGAGAAAACCTATGTGCCAACACAGTTTTAAGGATGGTTGATAACTCCTAGCTGATAACACCACGAAAGTTTGTTTCCTGGAATGACTGAAAAAATTGTATCAGTAGTAGTGGTGTGTGAACACAGACCTCTTGAGACATCTGTTTGAGGCGGATCACACACTGCTTTTTCAAGAGTTTTGAAATGAGATTTGATTATTCCATCAACGCTACCGAAAGACCGCAGGATAGAGAAGAATGCGATATTTTTAGAACTGAGCTTTCATCAGAACTATGTTTCCCACATGGAAAGCAGCATCAGGTTGAGCTGCTGACCATTCATGGGAAGCAACTTACTGTCATCACATTTAGTCCAGCTAGCAGTTAACTATGACTACTTTTTGACTTATCACTGTCTGATAGACGTTTGTGGTATGGTAGAACCTCATAGACACATCGTTCTACCAAGAATAGCTTGTTGGATCATTGATACATAAAGACCGTATCATCACCTTAAGCTTGAATATTTTCACTAACTCCCATTCATTTCTCCTTTGGTTTCTGCCAGGTACCCTCATCATAACATCGATCTTTTTCTATCATATTCCTCAGTGTATGCTGCCTTGAATTATGGTAGCTTAAATATATGCATATTTCTCTCAAAACCTGCGTTAATTTTTCATTGTCACTCAAAATATTGAATGCTTCTGATTTTTGGGATGGTTAATGCTATCCATCTTAGCTAAGAAAATGGTTTTTTAAAGACTTAGTGCACTATGAAAATTACCAATTAAGATTATCAGTTCAATAAACTTTTGAAAATGCTTCATTAATAGAAAGCATGCAAATGAAACTTACCTTTAATATTGTCACTCTTCTTTGAACGTCTGAGCATCTTGTTTCATTGATTTTCTCTAAGTAACTTTTGTCGACAGTAATTTTCTAACTTTTTAGCATTAAACCATTCAAATTGGTTTTTAAAAGAATGCGTATCATGCCTCTTTTTTGGAGTGAATGTTAAATAATCAGGTACTAATCTACATGTTCTATAACACTCAGCTGTACATTTTTCTTCAGAAGTTAGTAAATTTGCTGCTACATCTTGATCAGCTATTATTTTTCCATTGATACTACGTGGTCTCGCATTATTGGTCTCAGTGGTCCTGTTTAAAACTTGATTACGGAAAAAATTAAAATTTTTTAATATTAAACAGTGGAAGAAATTGTCAATTAACAATATTGAATCTAATGAACTGATAGTAATTAGTGGAAATTAAAAGGGTTACTTTTTGAAAGCGTGTATTCATAGCCAACATTTATGAACTGTAGTACATTAAGATTCCAGAGCTGAAATACGGGACTGACTTCATTGTCTGAAAATAATTCTGTTCATATTGCTTCGTTAAACAACTAGCTTAAGTGAAATGATTTTTAAAGGATATACTGACGGATGAAGATCTCGATCAAATATTGTAATAGTGTGAATCCAGCTTTGAAGTCATTTTTACCCAACTTAATTAATTCTTCCTGTTGACTAGCTTTTATATTTACCGAATTGTTTGAACTTAGAAAAGTTTAGTCTGACATTTATTACTTACCAGCATACCAATATATTATATCAATTTTATTTAAATCATATTTTGTTTATAAATAACTGTCATACTCCAAAAATATTACTGTTTTGTTCCTGAGTTCTGAGATTAATACGAAATATATGCAGTCCCTGGATATGCAGTTCTGTCATTTGATTTCATTCAGCCGGACTATGGAAAAGTCACCGGTTAATTATGAGTTATAATCGTGAAAGAAGTGTCCAGTTAGACCACCCTGTTTAGCAGATATATCACTAAGTATCATACGAACAATAATATCTGTGCACATTCACAAACTACATTTAGAGCAGTTGAAATGGGAATTCAGGATTGATTCTTATTACTGAGCTTTAAGACGAATGTATGTTTTTAAGAAAATGATAAATGTTAACTCAAGACACACATATTTTGAAAAATGTATCACAGTTGTCACTTTGAGATAAAACTCACTGTTAAGTATTTTAAAGATCACTATATTAATTTAACCGTGTAACTGTATTGCAATATAGCCCTCAAGCATTTTTCTCGTCTTTATTCTGCTTCCCTTCAAAATTCATATCTTCAGATTAAAAGCATACAAAATCCTCTGGATTCAAAATTACTACCGGAACATGCTGGCTGGCTGGCTTCAAAGAAAAACAAATCATGTGTGGATCAAATTGCAACGCCACGCTAAGCATCATCATGGAACAGAGCATAGAATGGTAGTCAACTCTGTACCTCAACTTCGTAGACTTTGAAATGGCCTTGGGTAACGTCGAACGAGCAGTAATTTGGCAGGCAGCTGCTTCAACACTACAGTTTCAGTGCCAAAAGCCTTTATCAACCTCATTCAACAGCCTTATGCCTGCCATGTGATGAGGCTACATACCAAGTGATTCACAGTGGGAAGCTCAGTGACGTCCTTGAAGTGAAGACAGGAGTAAGACAAGGTTACCACCTACTATCACCGATCATCTTCCTGGTTGCAGTCGACTGGACTGGAGTGGAGTGGATCATGCAACAAACTGTGAGGAGTGAGAAGATGGGTGTACGCTGTTTGACGGATGAAGAGACTCCAGGAGAAGATTTGGATCTCGCCGATCATGATTCGTGTCTAATGTCACAAAGACTCGAAGATATGCAGCTGAAAACAAACAGGTAGGCAGAGGAGGCGAGGCAACGAAAGAAGACGGGACTTCCAGTGAACATCGGGAAGACAGGGGTGATAAAGATACCTAACCAACGACAACAGCAAGCAACACTCGCCATCAGCAGGAGAAATGTAAAGGAATTTGTCTTTTTCACCTGCCTGCCTAGGTAGCATCGTCACAACTACAGGCGGCGGCATAGATGAGGATGTCAGAGCCGTCCGATATTGGAAAGACAGAAAGACAGGCCTCCGTAATCTGAAATCAGTGTGGAAATCTACTGCACTGCACTCCACTCAGCATAAAAGGTGAAAAAGACCAGGATTTTCAACACCAATCTAGTCAAGTTAGTGTTTCTGTATGGTTCAGAGACTTGGTGCATTACAAAAAGCATTTCCAACAAACAACAGACATACATCATGAACAGCTGCCACCTACACTCACTCGATACTGAAGATCAGATGAGAAGACCAGAAAGAATACGTAACAAGCAACTCTCGGTGGGTGGTAAGGAACCATTCAAGAACCCATCGCCCATCAAATATGCATTGGAAGGAAGTGGAGATGGATTGGGCATACACTGAGAAGACCATTCGGGGATATCACGCGCCAGGCCAGGCACTCGAGTGGAACCTAGATGGGGAATGACGAGTTGGGCGTCCGATGGTGACATGGAGGAGATAGTGTGAGGAAGAAATGAAAGCTTGTGGGCAGTTTTGGAGCCAGTTTCAAAAGATTGCAGAGAACAGATTGAAGTGGCTACGTGCTACTGAAGCCCTATGTTATACTAGGAACCCAAGGGACAAATAATTAAAAAATATTCTGTTTTTGGTCATTCAGGCTGATAGATATGATTTATTTGACAGTCGATGTCTCACAGTATCACTGATGAATCGACACTTCAACACTACGCTGTTCATGTTTCGAAGGCGGCAGTGACAAGATCTCTTAATTCTAATAAGTCTTCCACCTTCTACCATTGCTCGGCTTGAAACACACCAGTATTGGACAGCATAAACTTTTCATAAGCATGCTCCACCTTACTTAAACCAAACTCAGGAGCTAGTAAAATCAAAGACACCTTCAGAATCACCGTTAATTACTAAGAATTAGATAATTTAGGAATACATTTAAACAATCTTTAATGTACAGCAATTTGAACGTTCAATTTATATAAACTTACTACGTCTAATTTTTGAAACAATTGGTTTAACATGAAGACAGTAAAGTATAAACTCAATAATAGCTGTAATAGCCGAGAAAGGCACAGGAAGAATGGGTCGGTTACTATTTTCTAACACCAATGACAGTATGTTAAACTTCCACAGTTCAATTGAGTTCTCTTCAATTTTCTCGAAAACATTACTGACATTTAAATAAATAGAAAGAGTAACAAAAGTAGGGAAACACGAAATAAGTGAAGTGATACTGTCACTCCTCTTATATATGTATATATATCTTCAATACTTGTTAGGACACAATAAAGATACATCCACTTCGCCCTGCTAAACAGACAGTATCGTAAGTTCTCTTACACAAGAATTCTGAGCATGCGGTATTACAAAATCTACTCCTTTTACAGCGTCTCCAGATATATCAACATTATTAATGATTAACTTTGAACTTAAAAAATGATAAGATAATTTAACTAGGTAGATGATTACCGGGTTAAGAGATAGTTGTTTACTAATGTAGAGTCGATTGAGAAGAACTTCCTTACTATGCGTGTATTCAAATAAGATTCGGATTAAATGAGATATAGAAGAGGTTTTTGTTTGTGGCTCCGTCTGGATAAAGCGTAAAGTATCTGGTTCTTAATATAAAACTTGAGCACTGTGGTAGATTGTAATTCCATTTTAATCTGTTTATTAAAAACGTCAGACAGGGAAACAGTATCGTTTAATGAATAACCTTTCGGACACAATTTATTGTCCATATTCATATCAGGTAACTCCATAACTTCGAGACGGAGTTTATATAATCCTAATATTCTCTCCTTCTTTTTGTCAGAAGTAGTAAAATTTTCTATATATCTGGAACAGGTGCAGAATCACTTCTGTTGCATGTATTTGGCGCTGATTCGATAAATAAAGATTCAGTTGTCAATCCCTCCCCACACACAACTAAGATTTTATGGTGTCGTTCTATCCCATACTGTTTGTTTGTGTGTAATTGCATGCAGAGTTATAGCCGAGCTTTTTTCTTATCTTATTAGGATTTACTAATCTTGATTTAGCTAAGCTATTGTGATCCGTTTTTCTAACCGACCCTGATCAACCACTTTGATCAGTGTATTTGACCTTTCAATCATTGCAAGTGACCTGGCAAACCAGATTATTTTGCTTAATTGCATCAGTAGGATCTTTTAGTTTACAAAGCTTGTTTCTAAGAGAGTTTGTTCGTTCAAATGCTACTTCAATATCAGCCTTATTGAGAATTTTTCGTAATACTTCTGAGGTGGCTTCCTCGTATGATAACACAGCAGAGGCTTTGAGTTTTCTCTCAACCCTGTTACCATTATTAATATTAGTAGTAGAATTATTATTATTATTAACACCTGTATTGCTACTACTACTACCACTGCTAATATTTTTCTTTCGATTTCTTATGGACTTATTTTTACATTTAGGTGGGTAATTATTTAGCCAGAAGGTATTCTTGATGTGTCGTAGATTTCCTGGTCTACTTGTAAGGTTTTTCACCTTATCACTTAGGCATTTAACTAAGCCTATTTTAAATGATGTGGGATGGGGTGAGTTGAAGTCTAAGTAGAGATTCAAATATGAAGGCTTCCTATAGAAACTAGCCTTTAAACTTCCTTCTTGCATTCGTTTTGATCTCTGTTTATCAAATTAACACCAAATACATGCAACAGAAGTGTTCTGCACCTGTTCCAGATATGTAGAAAATTCTACTACTTTTGTCAAAAAGAAGGAGAGAATATTAGTATTATATAAACTCCGTCTCGAAGTTATGGAGTTACCTGATATGAATATGGACAATAAATTGTGTCCGAAAGGTTATTCATTAAACGATACTGTTTCCCTGTCTGACGTTTTTAGTAAGCAGACTAAAATGGTATTTGATTCTTGTTTCTCCTGAAGATAGACATGGAGAAAGGTGCCAATGAAGGAAGTGCCTAACATCTGAAAAAATAATTGCTTCTAGCTGTTTACAACAATGAGAATAACTTCGCAACCTAAATCGAAAAGGAGCAGTTTTGCATACAAAAGAGGCTTGTTCAAGCACTGATCCTCTCATGTTGTTAATATTCAAAGTTTCGAATGACCCCACATTTAATTTTTTCACTCTGTTCATTTTTAACATGTCACCAACTATTTCTTGTCTGTATACTTACTTTGATAACAGTTCATTCATTAAATATTTTGTCAAACAAACCAACTCCTAACCATCATTACCAAACTTCACTGACACTCTGAGCAGTACTCATCAGTCTAAGTAACTCTGCTAATTAGGTCATGACAACTGAATTTTACTTGTTGTTATGTCTTTTCGTTGATCTTCAGTATTCATCAACACTAATTATTTTATGATGAAAATAATATTGCAGTTTTTATATTCATTGCTTTGTTTTTCACCCTACTTAACAAACTTCTTTTACACATCAAGCAAATTGTACATTCTCACTGAATATTGTCTGTAAATGTGACGGTACGGCCTACTGAGTAAAATCACTAGTTCACTGAACCACTACTTTTCATTTTCTAATATATCTACGTGAGGATGCTTCATGAATAATCATTTTTATCAGTAGGTACAAATGTGTACTGCTAGCTCAACTGACAGTCCTCAAAATCCTGGACGATACAGTGCAGCATTCTGTCAAAAGTTCGAGAATAAGAAAGGAGCAATGTTAAAGTTAAAAAAAGGAGAAACACTGAAATTTAAAAAATAAAATAAAATAAAAGTAGGAAATGGGTTACACTAAGAGGTCACAGCCTCTTTATATAAGAGGTCAAACTCATAATTTTCTTAAAAGCAGTGAAATATGGGAAATTTGAGAAAGATTAAAAAAAGCAAACACCAAAATGAATCATAATTGATACATTCTTTACTACGGGGCAACTAGCAATATAAAAGTTATGACTGAAACAGCTTGCACAAATCTTTACGCCTTAGGCTGATATTAATTATTTGACATTTGGAAGGATTAAGCGTGATGTCATTCATGGAATATCAAAGTTCAATTTTGATTTGGAAATCCTTTATTTGAAAGCATTCAGAAAAAGAGACAGTCAACAAGGATACTGCTAGGTCATCTGAATACTTAACAAACTAGTTTACGTTGAGGAAGATAAGTCTTGCAAAAAGAAAGGTAAAAGAAATGGAGAAACAACTACACATTGAGGAACATCAGACTCATCAAATAGTGAAGAGAAACATTTCACGAAGCTTCATGACTAAACTAACCAGCTCATAGAACACAACATAAACAGGATCATCTACCTAAGCTACTCTTATTCTCCACCATTTCAAAATCATACGGGCGTAACATGCTTCGCATTGTTCGGAGATCAGAAGGTTTTTCCTGGAGGCAACAGCCCACAACAGAACGACTATCGTTTCATCATGAGTGCCTACATCAGCATATTCTGAAGAAGGCTGAAAAGCATAGACCACCCACTGACTATACAGTCGGATGTAAAATACATGAACATAGTGGAAAAAGAACGGCTCAGCTGGTGATCATAGATGTATATTATCGGATCCAGAAATACCAACTTGCGGTTGAAAATCAAATGAGAAAATCAGGAAGCATAATTAAGACACAACATATGACAACGTTAGAAACAGTAAATGAAAAATCCAGCAGGTGATGAGACGAAGAAAGAAGAAAAACCCTAGATAAAAGGTGATCAAAATTTCAGCAGCACCTACAACTGTGGAAACAAATGACTGTGTTGCCGACTTATCAAAACACCCACTAGCAAAACTGGAAGTACTTCGGAAAGTACTGAATTACAAGGGATACCTCGAAAACAGAGTTGGTCGCTGCATTAGAATCGTTGCTAGAAACATCAGGACTAAATAAGGACACTCAACAAGAAATACGGCAAGCAACTGTACCACCAACCAGACAAAAGGCACATAACATTCAAAAGAACTCTTCGAAACAGAAAAGATTATTAAGATTGAAAACTAGGGAAGATATCGTTATAGTTCTGGTAGACAAGGGAACCATTAGCGTGGTCATTGACAAGGAAGTCTACATCAAGAAGGCAGAGGATGGACTCAAAGATGAAAATGTGTGCCAGTCACTTAAAACCAACCCTATTCAAAAGTCTGACAACCAGATCAATGAATCTCGAGCAAGGTCGTGAAAGCAGGAGAAATAAAAAGGCAAGACAAATGGTGAATGAAATCGGGTACATGCGTCCTTCCTAGGTTTTATAACAGACAAAACCTACACAAACTGGACATTCCTCTACAACCAATAGTCTCAATTCCAGGAAACCTAACTTCAATTTATCCAAAGGGTTTTTGAGGAAACTTAAATAACTCGTACAATCACGCAGACATTCCACCAAATCAAAGACGGAAGTTTTCGAAAGAATCAAAAGCATTAATATAGAAAACGATGAGTTATTGGTATCTTCCCATGTCACAGCCTTATACATATCAAGTGAATTACAATTAGCCAAGGGTACTGTGTCTCTTCTACTCACTGAAGACAAAAATCTGTCAGACCTCACAAAACTTCAATGTTTAAGTCTAATGGAACTCAGCGATCTTTGTCTGACAACATACTTCCGAATTTAATGCCAAGGTGTACAAACAAATAAAAGGAACTCCTATGAGATCACCAATAATTGGGTTGATTGCGGAAGGAGTAATGCACAACCTGAAAGCCATCACTTTACCCATAATCCTCCATTTGGATAATACTTTTATTATCATTAAACAAGATGAATTAGAAAATGCTCACAGTATGATCAACAAGGTTTTTAACGCCATCAAATTCATAACTGAGAAGTAGTCAAACAATCAACTGTCATTCTTGGATATTTTGTTCGGTAAAATCAACTTGAAGAAATTGGAAACTTAAGTGTAGAGGAAGTCAAAGCACATTGATAAAATCGTCAACTACAGAAACGACAACGTACAAAATTAGGGAAAGAACATTGCAGCAAAGAAGCGTCTCGGAGAAATGAAGAAAACTTCTTGCCCTATCCTACTGAAGAAAAGTTATGCACGAAACTGCATCAGAAAATGTATATCCGGTTTATGAACAACGATAAAGTCATCCACAAAAATCAAAAAACGGATCAACCTGCCGTACATAAAAAATAATCAGCGATAATGACAAGATTATTGAAACCACTGAGAATTAGTGTGGCTCATAAACCAAAAAAACTCCCTTCAAACCATATTATCGAAACCAAAGGACGCAACGGCCGGAAAAGAGAAACTAAATTTCCTGTACAAAATCAACTGCAACAACTGCAATCGACAGTACATTGCACAAAGTGGTCGACTTCTTTTTACTTCGTTTACATGAACACAGCTTGGCTACTAAACATCACCACATTTTATCACTCATAAAAAAGCACGTAAATGATTGCATAAATGAATTCCATTTGAAAATGTAGAAATCTTAAACAACCACTAGATTTATTAGGTAGTGAAGTAGAACGCATCCGTCTATATAAGGTGTGCTGCTTTCATTCAGAGAAATAGGAATATAATCATTTTTTCAAGCTTGTTCAATGAACGGAGTTTAAAGAATCAAAGGTATAATTTGAAACGACAAAAGTAAACCACTGAGCACCATTTTTCAAATTTGACATATTAATGTAAAACAGTTTCTACACCTAACGTGCTCTTTCTGGTTTTACATGTTAATTGGTTCTAACCATCAGAAGTGTTGAGCTAAGGTTTAATCACAAGTGGTTACCATTTTTGCATTCCTTTTACGAAGGTGCGATAAAAGTAGTTAATCGGAATTTCATACTTGCTCCAGAGGATGTAAACTTGCGTAGTGGAATTACTTCAATTTCATTTCAAGCGGTCCTATACTGTTCTTGAATTTATTGGGAAAATACTTGTTAAAAGTTAAAAACTCTGAAAACCTGCACTATGTTAATGAATATATGTGTACACATATATATGAACATATCTTGCTTTTCAAAGTGTAGCAGGCACCAAACATTTTATTTTTTTAGTGAGATTAAACATATGTTCAATACTTCATTGCCTAAAACTGTATCATACCTTCGACTAACAATCAGCAACCAATATTCTGTAAAGTGACGCTAACATCCAATTTTTAAAGACAATGCACACTTTTTACATAAGTCAGTAGTGAAAATAATAGTCATAAGCATACTTTAAGGAAATGACCTGGAGAGAATCAACTGATTGTACTAACTATGATAATCCAGCTAAAGAGTTCCCGTTAAGGCGAAACGCGTGTCTTGAAATCTACTTCTAGCCTCATCCAAACCAATAAAATAGAAGTGAAATCACCGGCTTAATCATGGCATCTGCACAAAAGCCCCACAACTGCCGACCTACTCCGTCTAAACTAATTAAAAATGTGAAATAACAAGTTGTAATACAGAACTATACCAGTTGCACAGTGAGGTGTCTAACGTAGCTCAGTGGCTCCATTGATAACGCTCCGGTGTTTAATAATATCGGTGTTAGTTTCGAGTCTCACTCAGAAGACAGTTACTTATTAGGATACAGGTTCATCCAGCTGACAAAACGCGCCTTCTTCGATTCACTGCTAGCTACTGACCACTCTTAGTATAAAAAGGATAACCTAAATTTGTGGCAACTGTCAATTTTATATAATCATGACCGTCTGCCACTCATCTACAAAATATGTAAAGCTTGAATGATCTGGTTAGCATGATTATTACTATCACCTTCATTTCTTTTCCCCTAATGTGTGTTGAGTAGTCTAACTTATTGTGAAAGTTTAGAAAAAACTGACTAGATATTTAGTGAGATGATTTGTGAACAGTTGACTGTCGTCCATCCTTCAAGTGAATTGAATGTTAGTAGGCAGAAAAGCGACGGAAACCGTTTGATGTATGTGCCAAATGGAAAAGCCAATACATCTTTGAAGCGATAAGGTCATAAATCAAAATGAGACCCAATTACAGGCTATAGCTCAACTTTATACATCATGCTCAAGTAAAAGTTGTCATGCCTAGTAGGGGATTAACTTCATAACAAAATTAATATGTACTCACAAATAAAGTTATTCGTGTAAAACTAGTGAGCAAATAAAACAAAATCATTTACCTGAAAATTGCAATCAGTAGATTCATCAATAAAATTGCAGCAAGCATTAGATAGATAGCCAAAAATAGTGGACTTAAAAAGTTGAATGTTGGACAATCTTCCTTATTTGCAGCATCATTTGTGCACCCATCTTTTTCAGCTGTAAAGAATGGTAAAAAAACACTCACAACATTGTGACTGAAGATAAACTGAAGGCAAATGCTGAACAGGTTAGTTGACATGACCACATAACTTTATGGACATTAATCGTTCCCTTAATATATAGTGATCCTGTTTGAATGACATTCATTGTGTGGAAATTGGAACATATAGACAGTTTCTCCACACATCTAAACTCAATAGTAGTTGGAATGCAGTTCACTTATAGGTTAAAAAAGGAACAAGAAGAATAACTATGTTGGATTGTTAAGTAAGACGAAGAACAGATGATGCTTTAGACACTACCGTCTACAGGAAACCAAGACACTTTAACGGCTATCTAAATTTTTAGTCATCTCGTCCAATTTCAGTTACATTGGATTTAGTGAAATGTATGAGTAATAGGGCTAGAAAACTCACTAGTAAATTGAACGACTTAAACGAGGAATTGAAACATATATAAGAAACACTAACGGTCAATAACTATCCTTTAGGATTTATTGACAAATTCTTCAAAACACATAGGAAACGAAGTAATAATCGCAATATGAATAGTAACTGAGACACTAGTAGAAAGGAGTTCGAGGCTTCCCTTTTGTTACCATATCAAGAAAGAACATCGTCGACACTAAGTAGGACTCCCAACAAGGCTGGAATTAGGGTGGCATTCAAACCTTCCAAATCTCTCAAATAAACTCTTCGTTAGCTTAAGCATTGTATCGCTCGAATGAAACATTAATTTGATCTATCAGATACCATGGAATGAAGATGAGGTCAGTTATATGGGTCAAACCAGATGATTCGTGTCAGATAGATTACTGGGGCAGAGGACTCAAGCCGAATGTAGAATGACAGACCTCTTTACTACCAATAAACTAGAAAAGCTTGACCGTTGCAATACATTTATTACCCTACAAACATTCAACAGCGTAGGATAAAACAACTATACTATTGATTACTGAATCATTGTTAGTTGAATCAAAATCTGACATATGTGACAGGGATGACGCAACAGATATACCGGAGATGTAGATAATTTTAATGCCAGTGAAAACAAAGCATATGAGGTGGTTAGACTGTAAAAATCAGATTTTGAAAGCGGTATGATTACAATGATAAGATTAGGAGCAATAATTGACGCTCGAACCGTCATGTAAAATATGCTGTATAACCGTGTTCTTTATCGAATAAACAAACCTAATATGCGACTACATTCTAACACAGTGGCCAAGTTTTGCACTTCTGTCACTTTAGAAGAAGCAGTTTGGAAACAGTAAAAATTCTTTTGATATTTTCCATCAGGCTAATGTCAAGAACAAATGAATTTCGTCACTTCATTTCAGAGGTTTGTGGGGTTGGTATTCATCATGAACTGACATCAATGGGTGTTCACTGCTGAAGAGTCCTATAGTGGGACGAAGCAGCTGTCCAATGCTCTCAGGTTTTCAGTAGTTCTCCAACTGAGGTCAGTCAGTGGTGAATCCAAAAATGAATTTCACTAATTCGGATGTTGGTGATGAAATCAACCAATTTTGAATTCAGACATAGCATATTGATCGTAGATGATAAATTTACCCCAAACTTACAAGCCTAATATATCTCACAGCTGTTTAATTTCTGGACAACTAACTATATTGAAAACAGAGTTTTTTTTGAAAACCACTTAATCAAGATCACGTACTGGGATATAGACTACAATATCGTAGACTAATGACAATTACTGGTAGTGGAAGTAGTTAGTTAGAAATCACGCTAATTCGAAGAAATCACTATCCAGATCAAGTGTTTTAAATGTTGGACACAGTCTTGTTCAACAGTGCATACATGTTAGTTTGACTTCAATAATTTGGCTTCTTGTGGGCTGTGTTTATTCGGATTCACCATCGACAAGCTTGGTCTCTACAGAGAAAGACTAGATCATACACATCTGACTCATGAAACTTGTCGGTGTGGATGTACGCTTTTGATTCAGTAGTAGTATATTCATCGATTACTTCGTGAATTTAGAAATTTCTTTGTCTTTTAGAAACTAATCGTTTAAACTTCCCTTTACATTGGGATGGGTATTTACTTGACAACGCAAGTGACATCAATCACTGCCGATCCACCATCTCTTAAGCTGATTTAATCTACTTCTCCAAAACTCTGCTTCTAACTTCGACATTGCTCACATAACGGTCTTAGCAAATAAATGTGAAGCTTCTAAGTTACTTATGATCAAATAATTCTCCTCAGTTCTTACGTCTTACTAAACTTTATCTTACGGCCGTATAGTAATGTGGAGTATTGTGAAGGGATCGCCAGTAAGTCTTGTCAAATATTTGATGAAGATATGTGGATTGCATATCTAATATGCTGAAATCAGAACATTTCCACAGTTTTCACCCATATATCAACTGCGCAGTAACTGCAATTCAGTGCACTGATGAATTTGAAAACGAATATGTTCAAAGTCTTGAGTTCGATCCCTTAGTTGGTCACTGGTGCACACAGTTGAAGAGTCCAGAACCAGAAGGAAGTAGACGCCCATCACTGCAGGTTTTTTATTTTTTAGTTGATGTAAATCCATGATAAAAACCACCTTAAAAACTACCCGTTCTGGGTCACAGTATCAAACAAAGGGAAGTTCTAGGTGTAGATAAAAATGCTTCTATGAGACTGTCATACTCAGATATATACTAGGATTCTGTGTCACTACATCCTATATCTGTCATGGTTACTTTGACGAGTGCTTTAGGTACCTGATCCCGAAATCTGAGTGATAAGTCGAAGTATTCAAATTAGGGATGCCAAAGCATAAATAAGACATTGTTGCCAGACGATTACTCTCCAGTTTATAAAAACATTAACAGGGATATTTAATCAGCGGAGAAATTTTGATTTAAGGAGTAGTTGCAACATGACTGAAAGCGAATCCAAAGCTTCTGCAGTATAACCGTGAAAAGAAGAGACATCAGAATTCGATACAAGATTTTTGACATTTCTGAGATGATGGTGGAGTGAAAACCCTCGCACGTATTCAAAATAAATCGTTTGTTAAGTAATCCTGACAACTCAGTTACTCAGATCAGCCTAATCTCTTAATTATTACTTAATGATTATGAGGTTAAATACACTGGTCAGAGTCAGTCAGGATGTCGAAGCATAGAAGCTTGGCAAAATATAGAATGTGGATGTTATTAAGATAAGAAACCTTGAAACAAACTGAGTAATATCTGTGCATCCAGTGACGCATAATAATACTGTAAGGTGGAGCAAGGTAGTAGTTTCGAAATCCAATATAGTTAGTTGAAAGGAGAGGTTTATTACCAAATCTTTGTCGGTAGAATCAAAACTTATTACATGCATCGAAGTAATCAATCAAAGATTGAAAATATTTTCAAATTAGAGTCAAACGAGGTAAAAATCTATCAAGAATGAGTATGAAACTTTACTTGGTTACTTTTCTAGGATTATAAGTAAAACCTTATTCTTCAAATTTTACACAGCAAATACTACTGAATCGCTGTATGCTACATCAAACAAACTAATTTAGTGCAGAATTGCTGAAATCACGTCAGGAACTAACTATTCAAAAACATGGCGTCTTTTGACGTGAAGTGGCTATAACCCTTCCTACTAAATGCATAGCTTTCAGGATAAGCGTTGGAATAAATCAGTTTACAATCACTGTTTTAAACCTGACAGCTTAAAACACATGCAAATATTGTTAAGCTTTCTAACAAGCTATTTACGAGACTACAACTAATGAGATAACTTGGTAGACTAACAGAGCACATTATCTGTGAACTATCTGAAGATTGCGTTTGTAACTTTCCAGAGACTTTATTTACATACCGTGATTGTCTTGTTTTCATTCCGTTCTGTCGTAAATATAAATAAAAATATCATCACATTTTCAAAGGAGGACTTTTGACTTGTTAATATTCCCTAGTAACACTACTTTTGGTTTGTTAGTAGCTAAACGTCTTAGACTAAAAGTGATTAGTTAAATGCATTTTCGAAATGGGACCGTAGGAGTTAGAAATCATTGACACTTATAGGAAACTTAAATTCCGACATAAAAATATATTCAGGGTGTTCGATAGTGAGAATATGATGCCTCGATTAGATTTTTTTATATTAAAGCCATCAAAAAGTAACTATTGTAATCGTAATGTTCTGTTACACAAGGAGTTAACTCCAATAAGATTATTCTCTAATAGGCTGAAACTAAACAGCTTCTCGCATCAAAAGGGAGACTTAAAATAGCAGCAGTTTCAAAGCTACAGAAGATATAATTCTAGATCCCTTAAGTGCTACCGTTTCTAGTCTCATTTCCAGGGTGAAGACTAATTTTGTAAGTAACTGAAAGCCACTATCAGATAGTTTCATGTAACTTTCATGCAGATGTGACTCATCGGCTTACGTACTCGACTTTCAAGCAGTGATTCAAGCGTTCAAATATTATATTAGGTTAACTACAGCCACGGCAACCGCCTAGTTTCAAAAACCGCTATACGCTAGCAAATGCTGATTGTCTAATCCACGCACATATACTGGGTCAAACTAATTTGTAAATTAGATCGGTTGGAAGTAGAGATAGTTCACTTTACCAATAACATGCTGACTGCTGGAAATTATGTTGGAGAACAGGGTATATCGATTACCCTCAAACACTTATTTATGCTGATCACTTTAATCAAGGCACTATCAATACGAAGACCAACTAATTTTTATCATTTGATTGAATATTATTTTAGTGTTCTTCTAAAATGATACTTGGAAGAAATTTACTGAATCAAGTGCACACATAATGAAACTAAATAAAACTTGTTAAACTTCAGCTTCAGTCCAACTGCAGTTGGGCTATATCATGAGCTAACAGAAGTTGGAAATATGGACCACTAGATTCTGACCCAGTTGCTCAATGGTAACGTGCTCTCCACGAAACCTGAAGGTCATAGTTTCGACCCCTGGAGGGGTCGTGGGTGAGCACTGCTGAAGAGTCCCATACTAGGGCGAAACAGCTGCCCAGTACTCCTAGGTTTCCTTTGTTCCTCCAACTGATGTCAGCCTACGATGAATAACAATTTGAAATATTTCCAAATCCCCACTACTACCTCAAAATAAATAGTATTAGTTAAACGTTTAAGTATAAATTGACTGTTTCACTTTAGGACCATATTAGGATAACGACCAAGAAATCTAACCAGTACAATGGTTAAAACTTACAGCAGCAGATTGATTACTAGATATTTCCTTACCTCACCGTGATCGATAAACGGTACCTTAATGTGGTAGTTGGCCTTGAGTATAGTCATAAATCAAAGAGCCATGTTGGTTATATCAACTGTTTCTTGAGGTCCCATCACACCATGAAGGATATGATTAAGACTAACACCAATTACCGTTATAGCGCTAATAATTTATGCTATGATTTGAATTTGGGGGTGAAGTCAAAATAGTTCGTCTATGGGCTGTGACACCAAAAAAGTGCTTCTGATGGATAAACATCAGTCAATGCTGATGATACTTGCCTTGTTAGGAGGAAGTGACTGGTTGACCGACAAAATAAACTTGAAAATTCGCACGCAAATACATTGGCTCAAGTTACCACATTTCACAGTAGTACAAAAGGAAAAATTAGATGGGAAAAGAGTAACATAAAAGTATAGAAATTTGATTGAGAGAGTAAACAATTTGAAAACAACGGTAAATGCAAATAATCAAGCTTTAGAAGGTATCAAAAAGTGAACACATCTGCGCCATTGTGATAGATTTTCAATCGTATCACCAAGAATCCTCAACCACTGATTCCTTTCGTCTCGAGAACCCCAAATATGTAGTCTACGTCTCCTCATATGACTCAGATCAACAGTCAAGGACTTCATCGACTGAGGTTAGGCTTTGGTCTGGCCACCCGGAACCCTCTTCCAATCTAATTTAACTTTCCGTAGCATGGCACATCTAGGTAGGCTGTGGCTCAGCATGCGCAGTACGTGTCCAGGCCCTCTCAGTCGGTGAAGGCTCCCAACCTCATCAATCGACTTATCTGCCTTATCCAGTACCCCTCACCTGACTTCAACACTGTTCATACAATGATATCACCAAACGCGAGGAATGCTAAGAAGACATATATACTCGAAACTATAACCGTTTCATGTATTCTACCTTTAACGGGGTAGTAGAAGATTAGGTCAATCTATGTGAAGTCAGAAGTACATAGCTTTATGTCCATTAGAATGTCTAGGAAGAGTTTAAATTGGAACGGTGACAGTGGGAATCCCTGGCGAACACCACTAATTGTCGTCAGTGCACATGACAACTCTATATAAGCCTTGATAGGGCTATGTGAATTAGAGTAGAGAGCTTTGATCAGTGTTATATACTTCTTCCGTACTCCCTTCACAGTCAGACACTGCGACAACACCTCACGGCCGACTGTATCAAATGTCACCTTCAAGTCAAGAAATATGACAAGCGTTGGGCTCTGGCCGTTATGTATGTTTGTATTTGAAAACCTGAAGGAGGGTAAAATCTGATAGATACACCCTCGTTCAGGTATTTTCAAAACGCGTTTAGCTTTCTCGAGCTTGCCGTTCTCCAGTGAACCTCCAGTTAGGCGTTGGATGACTAAGGACCCTAGGATCTTGAACACAGTATTAGTCAAACTAATTTCTGTATTGTTATCACGACTTCTCCCCCTTCTCATAGATAAGGATGATCACTGAAATACACCAGTCTGATGACGCTAACTCTGATTCCCAACACTACCTAGTACCTCGTCACTTTAATTATCATTTTCCTACCTGCATCCTCGAAAAGTTAAGTTGGCAAACTGTTAAATCCTATGGCTTTCCATCTTTTCAGGTTAAATACAGCTTTCTCAACTAAAAGGAGGGTTGGAGGACCGACATCTACGTCCCATTCAGGTTCATGCTGGATCTTGAGAAAAAGTGTTGGTGAGGGCCAGTTGACATGTGTTTCAAAGTATTCTGCTCAACTTTCTAGCCGCCTGCCCTGAGATATTATCAGCATCCGATCCTTTCCATTGCTTGTTTCATTCACCATTGTCTTCTTCTCACCCATATCCATAATAAGCCTTAACAGTTTCTGGGTGTTACTAACCACTGAAACTTTCTCCATCCCTCGTACTTTCGCCATCCATCAGTGTTCGCGGTCGAGGCGGAGACTCTTAGTCAATTTACGCTCGAGTTGCTTTCTGTTTTCATTGTGGTTTGAGACAGCTGGAATCAGTCTTCTCGCACCAATCATTTTGGATGATGTCGCGGAAATCCAATAACGTATGCTTACCTAAGAAGTCTGTTATAAGACCAGACATATGTAAGATTTCAGTTCGATCACTTAGTGAAACAGCACAAGGCTGTAGTGCATATTATTTAAAACCTTTTGTTTAGAGAAAGTAAGAATGATACACCCCCTCCCCAACCAGTTTGAAAAACATTATGCAAATGATATCAAATTGTAATCATTGCAATCTGACAATTTATACGAAACTTTAAACATAACCTACCGAAAGCATACTCCAGTGTAAGTTCACCAAATAAATTCCAATAAGGATAAGCAAATACATCACGTACAGCTGTCCATGTGAAATTGGCACGATATGGATAGAGTAAGACTTGTTGAGATACACCATAACCGACAAGAACAATGACCAAGATGAATATGAACATTAACAACTCAACCAACATACTACGTATCATAACTAATTTAGGACCTAAACGCGGATGATGAGAATATAAACCATATATTCTCAAATAACAGCCGACCACTGTAAGGTGAAAAAAGAATTAATAAAATTGGATTAAAATTTAAAAAATGTACCAGTAAAAATGACAGACAATGGTTATAAATACAAAAAAATAGATAGTCCAGGTAATTACTGAAATAAATTCATATATTCGATAATTGCTTAGTACTGTGTATTTGAGACAGACTTAATGCGTAGAAGCTAATATATGAAACAGTAACAAGCAAGTTTAAGTCAAAGTTGATATTGTTGGTAAGTAAAAGACTGGGTCCGATTCATCTTTCTAAAACAACAAGTTTTTCCGTAAGACTAGAATGTAAGCATATCTCAGAAACTAAGTGGGTGCTTTACTGTCCAGCATACCTATTTGTAAGATATAAGGTATAGGATAGAGTATATGACTAATCAGTTCAAATTAACCAACAGCTCGAAGGATTTGCATGTTCAAGTAGACGTGTTAATATTGTTATTGATTCAATCTTGATAGTATCCGTTGATTGTCATAACTGTTAGTGCTTGTAAGGCTGTTCAGATATTTCTCGAGAAAAAGAAGTACTTCACAAAGTTTTGAAGTAGTAAGTTCATAGATCAAAGAAACAAATATTTAGCAGGGTTCCATGGATTTTATCCAATTATTTACCACTGTTTCCTAAAGAATTAAGGCTGTATTTAAACTATTCTGTTACCTTACTACTATTATTATCTTGTTGAAGTGCAAACTGCAGGCTCATCATGCGATGTCAGTTAGTGAAAATTAATAGATAATACACAAGTAAAATGGTTATAATTATTGATTACGAAGAAGGATACAGTGAACTTATACGAGGTAACTGGACAACGTTTTATTTATCTCATCAACACATATGCACACATAAATTTCATGATGCTTTAGGTTTGCACTGAGTTGTAGGATGCTTGAAGGCAGATATTTAAATTCTTGAATCTTAGTCACTTCATTTTTAGCTTTACAATGAGTTTTATGTCACTGTTGAATATGTCAGAGCCCCTTAGAGAAAGCTGTAAAAATGTTTTTGTTGTTCGCTGAAAGAAGTATGGAAATTATGTATACAAATCTTTTCGTTTTCAAAGAGGTCTTGCAGGTCAATTTTTCATCCTTTAAGAATTCTCACCTGATTCAAACAAAAATTGAAACGAAGAATAGTTTCTTTATCGATAGTTCAAGGAATCGGTCTCACTGTCTGAAGCCTGAACAACTCAACAATAAATTTACTTAACTCTCCGTTCTCTTTAAATTTTTGGAAAGATGACATGTTCTTTTTTTAGCTGAATTTTTTAACACGCTTTTGTGCTATTGAAAAGCATGAAATGAATTTAAAGTCCATCAAAACAACTACTGAGATAGTCAATTAGGTTCCTGTATTTTGACTAGAAATATGGTTTTTCATAAAATAAAAGAAACGTAACTGACTATTTAAGTATTTGTTTCTGTCGATTTTAGGGGTCACTTAACACAGTATTATTTACTAAATGAAGTTTGGAGTATAGATCATTGTTCGTAATCATATCAAACTGATCACACAACTTTCTTGTTTGGCTTATAAACTTTTATAAACTCAGTTTCTTTGACTTTAATAATAGTGAAACTTTCCAAATATCTGAAATCGGCGTTCAGTCATAATTACTGCATGCATGCCAATCCCGGATAGATAAGAAACTGTACTTTTTCTACCAAATCAAAGAAGGAAAGGTTATAAAGGTACATAAGCCAAACAAAAAAGTCATGTAATTACCCGCGTAAGATTACGAGTAATAATTTACGCTCGAACAGTCATCCGGTAAGTGATATTGGTACTATTGATAGTGATTTGATATGTGCTACTTCATTAGTAGTTTCAGTCGCACCAACAACAAAGAAAACGTAATGCAAGGTATACATCATGAGCTTACACGTTATTGCATAGAGTGATTTTGCATAAAGGAATGTTGTACTCATGCCAATACGCAACAGTGCACTAACTGAGGCTAAACCAACTAAAAGTAGATCAGATTTATTCCAATAGTTATGATTCCATCGTAAATGAAATTGTTCATATCTATCATCATGCGATTTAACAATCTGGAAGTAGAACAGATATTAATAAAGCACAAATCTCGGTTTGTTTAACAAAAAATGTTTAAGACTGTTAACGAATAATATACTTATGGGAAAAGCCTACGTAATGTCTTGATGATATTTTTGAAGTAAAACTAACTAGAGGAAACCCTCCCAGAATTTTGTGACTTTAAGGACTGAAATCTTTTCTTTCCAAACCCAAGAAATTGTTGGTAAGTAAAAGTCACTGAGAGCTTTCTAATCTTTCTTAACTCACAAGTGGATACCATTCGATCGTGCAACCCACCTCGAGACTGACAGCGTCCCACAAGAAATGGTTTGAATGGGCTGTAATCCTTCGAAACAGGAACAAGTGGATCCAACTACGGAGATATGTAATTTGCATCTGGTGGAGAGTTTTATGATACAATAATATTCTTTTGTACTACTTTGAGGATGCATGTAGTGCTATCGATTACATCTATCTAAATAGGATTGCTAATTGGCATGCGTTAGAGAATTTAGTAAAAGGATATCCATTGTTATATCCCACACGGTTGCATGTTGGATGCATCACATAATACAGAAGTAAAATTTCTTAATTGCGACTTTTAGATTTGTGTTTTAAACGAGAAATCCCATTCAGATGTTCAAACGAAAACGGACTAGGCTTCGAAATATTTATGGTGGATAGTGGCTAACGGTGGGATCCTCGGTTCTCATTTTGTTTTATTTGAGACTTATCAGATAGATGTATCTACTATCCACTTAGTGATGTTGCTTCCACTGAGACTCTAGCCTAGCAAATATCGCTTTAAACACCATAGCTATATCCACTAGGCTACTTAGTCCCGACAGCCACCCCTTGTGAGACAAGGGCGATGCGTTCCAAGTTCGAATTTCAGGGGAAACATCATCACTCACTGTAAACCAAGTACATCCAACTGAAGAGTCCCAAAGTAGACAAAAAGTGAGTCGTAGATTCTACTATTGGTCACAATACATTAATAATGTTAAAAAAAGATACAGATAATACCACGGCATTTATCAAGAGGCTCATAAAACAAAAGTGGCTGATCTATTTGGTTCAATCAGCGACGGAAAAATCCAAGTTGTAACTTCGAAGAAATGTTTCTTTTCCATTAGCTTCTCATCAACAGCTCACAAATAATGGATCAGTTTTAACAACAAGTATAAGAATACCAAGTTATCTATGTTCACCCAATTAAAAATGGTCACAAAATCAAAGAAACGAAGTTTTTAGTCAAAGAAATATCCATCAAAGTAATGAACCAATTATTTACACAAACATTAATAAAAAGGGTAAGCATGCAGTGAAATCACTTTTCACATTACAGATTGTACAAGTTACAAAAAAAATGATAAGTTTCATCAAGTAGAAGCGTGTTGGAAGTAATTAAGTAAAGAAAAAAAATGAGATAACAGTCAGATGAACAAATGGAGAGGGTCAACTGTAAGCATTTCAAGGTATTTAACTAACTTTATACCTGATATTCTGATACTACAGACAAAATAGGAGATAATTCAGCGAAGAAAAACTTTTTCAACAACATCACTTCCTAAAGCTGTAGAATATATATATATATATATATATATATATATATATATATATATATATATATATATTCTACTTCTGCTGTGAGATATCCAGTTACTTACTAAGGATCGAGTGTACTAAACAGTTGTTCGTTTTTACCTCTATACGGCTGAGAAAGAACCATTCAAGCAACATGAGAAGTATTCAAATGATTTAGTACTGCTGACTGTATGTCACTAAATCGTCATTTCAGCAATATAGAGTTTAATTTTCCAGTCTTAAGCAAAAGAGTTGACTCATCTGATGGCGTTATTAGTCATCATGGATACAGCTAGCTAACAAATCTGTTATACATACCCAATCTACGTCTGCCCCTATCGCATATTGTTATCTGACGTAGGTTTTAACTGGAAGGAGGTTATAGGGAGTCAAACTAAGACATACCATCCATAAATGATGTATCCAACTACTGGTTTGAGCTCTGTAGCTTCTAGTATGGGGGCAACATGACAATCAAAATAAAAATCTGGAGACTGTGTGACATGGCTCGGAATCAATCGTAGTAGAGTGGATGAATTTACACATTATCTTCATCCTAATCACCGGATAGCCTTTCGACGTTTGCTTAATCTCTTTTATTCCCTCCTCATGGACATTTACGACTTTTGGTCACACTTTTTCCGATTATTCTGTCTTTCGTTTTGAAGCTTTGTCTTCATGTACTGTTAACAAGTGTCTGTCAGGTTGGACCGATAGGCAGTTCTGTCAGACTTCATGTTGATTGAAATTGACTGGTTAACTAACCGATTGATATTGTTAAAAGTCAATATTTCATTGTCAAAGTTTTGACTGGTTATTGATCTTCTGAAAATCGGTCTTCATATAACCATACTGGAAGTCTGCAAGGTGACACTTCAAAATAAGCCACTCTAGATGCAGCACTGCAGTCGCTAATCTTTCTTGAGTAACGGTTAGTCAGTATAATGAGTGTATGAATCGATGTTTCTGGTTAGAAACAGGCCATAAAAATCACTATGATTGCAACGTAATTACTTTAGAAGGTCCAAAGGAAAAAAACATTCAGTGTCGCGGATAAAACGTGATGCATTTAGTTAGAGTTGATTATACTGTTTACACTAACCTGTCTTATTAGGTCTATAAGCATGGCGGCGAAATAAGTGATGACAGCAAACTCATAAATTGAAATCCTATCTGGCAGTGTTTCGAACATAAGGGTATACGAAAAGAATAGGACGAATAGAACATATATTACCTAAATTAATGAGAAAAACGAAGACAGGTACACACAGTTAATCAGATAAAAACTTATGAAGGGAAAAGTAGTCAAAATTCAGTGTCACAAAACTAACCTTGAAATTTGACAGTTCACAAAAACAACTGAAAATAGTTATTAGCATAAAACGAAAAAATAATGAAGGCTTTCGATAATTATGCTATTATTCCTTCTGAAAGAGATATTTATCAAACAAATACTCACCAGGGATTCTTCACATAGAACTTAAAACCTTCGAGTCTCAGATCAGAGTATATCACATATAAGTTAATGAGTCAAAATTCAATAGTTGACATTCCCAAACACCTGTTGAGTGGCAGCGTTCAATAACCACTTTGAATCTCTCTTTCTGTAAAAAATGTGCAAAGCCTTTATGGCTTTGAGAGCTTTGCACCTTCCAGACTCTAGCCAACAGGAAGCTCTCCTTGATCTAGATTTCATTTCCGTATTGCATTACCTGTATCTCAAATGAATTTCTCGTCATAAATCTAACTATTTATCACTGAAAATCAGGAAGAATGGAAGTCATGAACTATGAGGTTTATCGAGTTGGATAGGAAAACTAATACGCACTGACTACTTTGTACGATGGTGGCAATGTACCATGAAATGACAAGTTAGGAAAAGGCACTTCATGAGATTCCAAGTCAGCGATTGAAGGGTAAGGTGCTCGCCGCAAAATCTGGCATTTCTGGGCCCGATACCAACTAGATTGTGGGTATGCGACGCCAAAAATTGTCATGCACGGACGAAACAGAGGTCCAATACTCCTTGGTTTAAATGCCTCTCCAGCCGAAGTCAATTTACCATGAAAAACGTTTTTTAGAATCGGTTGGTTCTCCATAAACCTGCAAATGAATATGCTTTTGTGTATGAAGTAGTCACTATTTTGAAAGAACACAGACACATAAATCACAGAAATGAGTTCCCTTTCTTGGAACTTATTACTTAGGTAAGTAGGTGGAAATGCATCCCTTATAACACCAGAAAAAAAAAGCGTTGAAGAATCGGGATAAACTTGACTAACCCAACTGACGATTATAGCTTACAGGTATGCCTTAATTCTGTGCTTCTTTGCTATGTTGTTTGAAAACGTTTCTAGACACTATGAGCTGCATAAGTTTTTGTAGTGAAGCTTTTCTAAGTTGTAAGTATTGAAAGAACAGTTCAAGTTTTATCACTGAAGCAACTTTTCTAACCATAGTCTTCAGTAAGGGTGGTTAATATGATCCCTTATCATTAAGCAGAAAATCTCTAGACACTGCAATGTAAACAAGTCATTGAAACATGTGATACAGGTTTCATACTTTATTTTGCAATGGATGTTGTTATAAAAATTACACTTGATCAAATTTTTGGCACATATTATGTATTAGTCTAGCAATTCTCAAGTGACATGAAAGTATAAATTTGCTTAAAATTTATGGTGATGGCTTTTATCTCTATCTGAGTTCAGAGTTATCAGGATCGTACTGTTAAGTAACAAAGGTTATAGGCAATTAAAATTCTACAGCGGTGAAGACAATCTTTGGTTTCTGATAAACTTGATTTGCCCATTTTTATAAACAGATCGTCGTAATCTAAAAATCTACCACATAATAAACACGTGTATTTGTATTTATCCGTAGGGAATATCCCGTGTGTAATGTTTTTTAACCAAATTACTGACGACAAAAGTTAAAGGGACATTGTTTAGATTTACATCAGAAGCTTTAGCTGCGTGACGAATTACATTCTTTGGCTCACCGAAGCAGACAATGTTTAATCCATATATGTGATCAAGTGACTAAAGTAACGTAAAATTTCTGTATGTGACGATGATAATAATGACTCAGTATTAGTCAAGAGATATTTTCAATAGACTAATTTTTTTTCAATGAGTTATAAATGCTTATGATTTTTCAGTGCAACAATACAAGGTTGCTCAGCAATGACTAACAGTCAATAAATAAAATGGGAATATCTAGGTAATTCAACCAATGTTACATACACTTCCCATAGTAATGCATTACTGTCAAAGTTTTCCTAACTAATCATGCGTAAGAACCACTAATAGTAACAACATCGTTCTTTAAAACGCCTTTTTTGACCCATTTTTCCAAATCCAGAAACTCCCTAGTCAAATAAGGGATTGCCATTGATTTCAACTAATATTTGTCACTTGTTTACTGAATGCTCTCTATCTACGATCCCATTTTTATTACTCATTTCCACTTCAAGTTTACACCGTAGTACACCGTGGAAAAATGTGTTCATTTTATTCCGCAAATATCATCATTTGTAATCAATACTGTACAATGTCAAATGACTCACACCTGTTCATAATTGAAGACACAACAATCTCAATACATAATGAGCAGGAATCCTTGATTTGAAACGATTAAATAATTTAAAGATATCGTTTGAATTAAGCCACATAAGTTAATAATCAGAATATACTTAAAAACCTGATTAGTGATCATTCATTTTCTTTAGAAACCTACTGCATACATAATAATAACCAACTTCTGACTAATAATAGAGTACAGGTATAAAATTTGATACAATAAAGATGAAATCGTGAAGGTCATATGAAAATACCTCAGACTGAGATCTATGCTAGTCATAACAGAATGAAAGTATGCAAAACAAAGGATGTTAACTACGATATTTCAGAGATTATGACCTTACATACTGTATATCGCTAAATGCATTTAGTTTTAGCATTCCTCTTGTTCTATAGCCTTTGTGTAAGCTTCATAGTTTGTTTTTACTGGTATTTTTGTGATAGAGAGAAAGTATTTACGGAGTAGAAAACGTTTTGTGTCGTCGATTCACATACGTTTACAAATATACTTGTAAATCATGATGCACTTTAGGTGTATAGTACAAATACTACGACAACATAAATTGACACTGATATAACATTAGCAAGATACAAATAACAGATTAATGTAGAATAATCGACTCCAGCCTAATTCAATCCCACTACCTACCTCTTTTCAACACCTTATTTAACCAGATAGACTTCTTTGTCAGTAGCTGATTTTTGAGTAAAGAAGTGAACAACTAGACAACGTGATGCCTTTACTCAATAAACCTTTCATATTTCCTCAGTATTTGTATGCAGATATATTTTAGACCTCCATAAAATCTACTCTTCCATTAGTATATCCAAGGTCATATAACTTATCATAGAAGTGGTGGTTACTATCAATAAAAAGGCCAAGTAAGAAGTCATTATAAGCTGATAGAGAAGCGAACAGCTTACTTTTTTTCATAGGTCTTACAATACAGTTGTGAGGTTCAAAAAGTGTCGATATAATATAGAATAGATTTTACTCTCGTATCTGAGTTTCTTACTTCAAATCAGCGTATAATATGCATATGATGTAGTTTTAAGACAAAATTAACAGATAAGTGTCCAGTTAACGAATTACCTTCATCAACAATAATTTCCTTGCTATTCACAATTCTTCAAGTACGCTCTATAGTGAATCGAATTTCTTACCAACCATCATTTGCAACAGACATAGAAAAAGGTATTTTGATGGCGAAAAACCCTCATACTTTTATCTTCAAAATTAATTCATGTACTTATGTTAAAGAATTCAGTTTGTATTTTGCAATATTTGTGTTTTATTTTTTCTCCAGAGTTGGTAGGAAATCCCAATCAACTTAAATTTCCAGCTATTCAAGCGGAGAAAATCAAACGGAAGACAATTTCCTGAATTTGCTAGTAAACATTTTGTGTCCTGTTCAATATTTAAATCTCACATGCACCTTTTATGGTTATGATAACAGCTGACAGGGGTTCAAATCACACTGAAAGTATAGCATTCATTAAAACTACACATATATTTGCTTCGGAATACTGACAGAAACAAAAACTTAGATCATCCAATGATTGGCATTAATCCAAATGAAAGCTGGTTCTCAAAAATTTTCAATGTACAAGAAACTCACAGCATTGTAAGCAAATTTGGTCCTTGGAGCACTATAAAATGCACGAAATTTCCACTTGATTTTGTCACATTCAGTAAATTTCTCTTGAAGATGGTCATCAGCATTGTTGTTATTCCTTTTATAGTTATTATTATTACTTCTGGATCCACCAGTGCTCTGTGATTCATCAACAACTGAAGGTTTAGTTTCCAGTTGTAATAAACGATCAGAGAATAAAAGAGGTGGGCATAGCAAAGCACATAACAAAATGAATATATTGACGCGTATGCCTTGATGCCAAGCATAATGAAGAGAGTCTTGACAAGCAATACAACTAATGAATTTGCGTCGAACAGATTGAGCTGCTAAACGCATACAGTTGAAGTGACCCCATAAATATGCTTCACGTTCCAGCAAAACCAATGTCAGTTTCTAAAACAAAACTCAAATCAGAAATTATTTTTGTTATCTGTTGGTATTGTTGTAGAAGAATAAAAATTTCATCTAATCTAGTTTTCAAAAGTTGATTCTACTTTCAGTAATGCGTTCCTGATAGCTAACACAAATCCTTAGATAAATTTCCATGAAATGAAGCAGACCAAGAGAAAAACAGTGGTTGTAAAGCGTGAATCACGAAATTCCAGCCCGTCGGATTGATGATAACTTGCTCACTGCAAAAATCAATGGCTCTGGATTCAAGCCTACACAACTTTAGTGCGTGCTTACTCATTAACAGTCTCAAACCAGGGCAAAAAGATTATCCAGTGTTCCTAGGTTTTTAATAGTTCTGTGGATGATGTCGACCAGTCGACCTGAAAACTACTTTAGAAAGACAATGCATCTCTGAAAAAAAATGGTATTAATGCTAAACACAACCTTAGTTCAAATATAGAGAAAAAGTAAAGAGCTACTTAGAAGATGCAATATTGGCTCAAGTCAGTATATCATCGATAAAGAAGTCGATTATAATTACGGAAAAGTCCCCCAAGTAAGTTCGAAATCGAGCAAGACTGGTGCTTTTGATAAATTCTGAAGATGTTGACTGCCTTGGTTGTATTATGCTCTCTGAGCTGGGTTGTTTAATCGTGAAGCTTTCGTCATCTTTCTCGACTATGGGCCTGTCTTTTCTCGATTTCACGGCAGACCAAAACTACACATACCAGACATCCCTCTACGACCAATAGTCTCACTTCTCGGAACTCCAACATACAACGTATCAAGACAACGTTCGAGAAATCTGAAATACCTCGTTCAGTCATGTGGATACTCTATCAGATCACCAGCAGAATTCTTAGAAAAGATCAGAAACATTAATATAGAAAACGATGAAATAATGGTATCCTTCGATGTCACAGCAATATACACATCCATCGAACCCCAATCGGCCAAGGAAACTATATCCCTCCTGCTCAATGAAGATATAAACCTTTCAAAATGAACAAAACTTAAATATTCAAGTCTGATGGAACTAATCGACCTTTGTCTGACAACATACTTCCAGTTCAATGGGAAAATATGCAAATAGATGAAAGGAACTCCAATGGGATCACCGATATACGAACCAATTGAAGAAGCAGTGATGCAGAGACTGGAAGCCATCATCCTACCTGTGATCAAACCAAAAATTTAGATTCGCTGTGTGGACGACACTTTTGTCATCATTAGAAAACATGATGATATAGAAAACACCCACAGTTTGGTCAACAACGTCTTCAGAGACATCAAATTTACAATGGAGAAGGAATCAAACAACAAACTACCATTCCTGGATGTTCTAGTCAGTAAAATAAATGCCGGAAAGCTGCAAACACAAGCGTACAAAAAGCCAACCGACACAGACCGAATCCTCAACTACAGTAGCAACAACCCAACAACGCCCAAGATCAGTAGCGTGCAGATTCTATTCAAAACAGCAAGAACACACTACAGTACAACAGCTTCACGGAGAAACGAAGAAAACTACTTGATGTCCACTCTAAAGAAGAACGGCTACCCACGAAACATTATCAGAAGATGCCTATCCCGTACATCATCAACTACAAAGTCATCGACAGAAGTCAATAAACGCATCATCCCACCATACATAAAGAATATACCAGGAATCAAGACAAGATTACTGAGACCACTTGGAATTGGTATGGCTCATCTACCAGCAAATTCCCTCCAAACACTATTATGCAGACCAAACGATGCGACAACCAAAGACGACAAACCGAACATCACTTACAAAATCAACTACGATAACTTTAGTCAACACTACATTGGACAAAGTGGTCACCCTCTTCGCTTTTGTCTACATGAACACCATTGGCCATTGAACGTCACGACATTTCATCACTCATTTCAGTGCACGTGGATAATAATGGACATGAATTCAGTTTCGACAATGTAGAAATTTTGGACAGAGGAAACACAAAGGATGTCAGAGAATTTCTAGAAGCTTGACATCCAGGTCAATCAGCAATCAGCAGATGTATAAACATAGAGCCAATCTATCAACCAATGAGGAAAATAATAAACGACAGAAAGGTGAGAGGTCAAGCAGATGAACAGCCAACAGGAAAATCTATACAGTCAATGACACAACAATCAAAGGAAACAACCAATCACAAACCATTTCTTCAGGGCAAGGTACTAAATCACTCACGAGGAGACATTAACGGCTCACTTCATACTGAGGTTAGGGCTGATGATGTCGCCTAGAAAGATGATCAAAGCTGCACGATTAAACAACTTAGCTCAGAAAACCTAATACAACCAAGACCATCCACCTGAGCTACAAATATTCCCCACTATCTCGATATTGACTGTTTTTGAATATGCACATTCTTTCGCAAGTAGCTCCGTTCAGATTTAAATGCGATATCCCTTATAGAAAATTTTTCCGTTCACGCAGACAGAACAGGATCAATGTGTTCAAACACAGAAACAGCGCAAAATAAATGTAGACTAAAAACAAACAAGTGACTGACTATAGTAATGATGGATAGCGGCTAGTAGTGGAATTCAAGACGCGCATTTCGTCCTGTTTGGGACTCGTCAGCTGGATTTACCTGCCTTACAGTGAGTGTTGTTCTCACCGGGATTTGAATTCGGGACTGGTCGCTTCAAACGCCAGAACGTTATCCACTACACCATCGAGTCAAGATAGTCTCCTTTTGTGCGACGGGTATAGTTTTAGTATTATTACTTGTATTATGCCGTCACTGACTGGACCGAATTGATCGGTATCTATTGGCATATGGGCTTCTGTGAGGATGCCTGGGTTCAATGAACGATGGTAAAATACAAACAAAAATACTAAAGCGACTGACTGTTTCGTACTGTACAGTTCCCTTCGTACATAGATAAACCAACCAAAGTTAGTGAGCATAAAAACGATTACTCCGTGCCCCTGAATAGTGAAAATAGGAATGAATCACAAGGTACATTTATTTATATCACACCTCTTATAAGAGAAATAGATTCTATAATTATTTGGCTACACACCATTGCGTGATTTATGTGTACTGATCACATGTGCACGTGTACAGTTACTTTCTTAACAAAAGCAAGACATAAGAAATCTAAAGCAGTTGAACGATGGAATAAGTTTAAAAATTATTGGCTTAGACTGTGAAATTAAACAAACTGAAATGTAGTAAAAGTTGACTACATATCTTCAAAATCTAAGTCAGTGTGGTCTTTTTGTTTCGAATGATGTACCGTGAGATTGTGTTGAACAGAAATGGACCTACCGCACTATTATATTACTTAATATCACAATATAATTTGTAAGGGAATACTGTTTAGTTATCACCACGGATAACAAAAGATATTCATTTACATGTTCATTTATTCTGCTAAGAAAAAGCTGATTGCGCAGTGGATTATCCTTAGGGGCTCTGGCTACTTAATTCATTCTACTAAGAAATCCTAAAATGAATATTAATGAGTTAATCAAGTTAGACTAAAATTACATCAATAGGTGAAAGAAAAGCCATTTAGACGTCAGAAATTATCTTCAATATTGGCTGATTTTGAACACATAAATTAACTTATCAGGGTGGGGAAGTATATCAACGGATTAAACTAGATTTTTACCAACTAAAATAATTTACCAGTAATATTTCTGAAAAGTTTATTGTCATTTTTCTTCCATGAAGGTGCATTAAATGCGACGATTAACATATCATTAACAGGTCTTTTAACAAGATAGTTCTTCAGAACATACAGCTCCCCCTCGATCAGTCTACTAGTCAATAATCCGTCAAACATCAGACTGATCTATTTCTCCATTACCGTTTAGCTACCTTATACAGCACAGTGATAACCTTACTTACTGACTATTTAATTTTTTGGACATACACCACTGGTGATTAGATGAGTAAAGATTGAGATAACAATCCCTTCAAAGGCACACTAAAAGTTTAACCTTTAACTATACCCTATCCTATGACGTAACTGTAAGCCTGAAATGCCATCCAGAAGATAATCCAATTCTGTGTCACTATGCTCTAAATTGGATAAACAAACTCCCCAATTAAAGAACACTATAGTGTCTGGATTCTTTTTTGTTTTTTAGTTAACGAAGAAAAGATGTATCCTCATAATTTTTAACTGGTAGGTAATTTGACAATACATTTTCAGCAATTACATCTGTGCAACAAATGTAATATGAACATTACTTGCATTTCAATCTGGTTTTAGTCGAATAAGAATGTGGTCAAATGTTATTACAGAAAACCATACATTGATCCTTTTCTGCCCTAACCCTTTCAGCGTTTTAAAAATACAAGTATAACTTTCAGCGTATGAATTGACCGAATAGAAGAGTGAAGAACTTGGACTAGCAATGAATCACTTTAAACAACCAGATAATTTGGTGAAAAACAGCGAAAAGTGGGTCGTAATTCCAAGGATTAGCAGAAATCAGAGTTAACAGACGAAAATGTGCAAACTAGGATCTAAAATACAAAATATTTAATAGTCAGATTCATACAGAACTTCAGCTTGCCTATATCATTGTCACTCGTAATGAGACATTACGTCGGAAACATCTGACATACTGATGAGCCCGAAAGAAATTTTTACAGAAACCTGAGGGCTTCAGATTTACAGTCTGTAATAGCTATACTCTTTGTTCTATATATCTGAAGCTTAAAGTCAGTTCTACTCCAGCCAACGTGGATTGTTAATATAGGTATTAAGTAGGTACGCACAACTAATAACTTGGTAGTATATCCACGTAATCAGAACAAGTCCAATATTTCTCAGCTGTGAACAGTTTACAGGTTAAAAGAGAAGAAAATGAATTATTGCATTATCAAAAAGCCTAGTGTGAAACGCTATCTAACACTTACCTCATCCGTTTCATAACATAGGTCTAACAAACGAACAGCTACTCTTTCAAATTCAGTTACATATGATTCATATAAGGCTCTAGTTTCTGTATCGTAGGCAGGCAATGATTCAATCATATTTGAGTACAGGCAACATCCAATCAATGCTAAGATGAGAGGATTGTCGCTACATTCCCAGAAGTACAAAGCCATTTGTTGACGCTGATGAAGCACAGCCCACAGGAATAATTCCTTGAAGTAAAAAGAAAAAATAGAATCAGATTATGAGAACAGTAGGGAATAGTATATGATAGGCTTGTAATTATTGAAACTTTGAAGCTCCGGCTCAAAGTATGTTGCTTATTTAGAAACTAATTCGGAACAACATGGGTATCAATGAATGCACTCATGAGGTTAAGCAACTATATTTCCAACTAGTATGTAACAGACTCAACTCCTATATCATATTCAATGGTTCAAGAAAGCAAACCATGTCATAGCCGTCAAGCTAGAAGTTCGATTAATCGCTTCGCATATATGTACTTACACATGATCGTTAATTCGCATTGTTATTTATAGTTCAAATTTTGTCTTCAGGTTGAATGATTTAACCTCGTATCACACCAGTCTCCAAAATTAATTAACCTTAACCTCTTGAAATAATTAGGAAAGATTATTGCAATTCATTATCAGTTTAAAAGTTAAATAGAACGCTTGTCGCTACTCTGATTGAAAGAAAAGATCTGCAAGAAACAGTCAACAGAGATAAAATAATACTTAATGACCAGTTGGGTACACACAAAGTGAGAGACACAGGATAATGCTTAATCACCCATCACTTCACAACAACACATATGGAAATACTGTGGTATACCAGGAATTCCCAAACCAGCGAGAGAAGAAAGTAAAGCTAAGAAATAAATATTTCAGTTTTTAAAATGACTCGTTAAAAATTATTAATCAGAGTTAATATCAATGAAAACTTGGGCACTGTGGTAGAATATATTTCAACATCAGAATTGTTTATCTGATGTATCACTGTGTGTTAAGCATCAAATAAGCAAATTTAGTATGCAATTAATAACTGGGAATTATGTTTTATAAACTAAAAATACCAGAGAATGAGGTAAATGTGCAAGGATTATCAAAGACATCCAAGCGAAACTCAGTTAGTGACCTCTACCAACAAAGACCTCATGTGGTAAGTTACTAGGCCTTTTTATTAGGTAGCCTTTATTTTTACAGCCGTTTTCTCAACTATATTTCATAAGCTTACTGCTGTCAACAATGCTAAGTTTGGTTATATTTCTTCTAGTGTTGACGATGACCGAAAACAGATGATCGTCTGAAAACAGAGAGACTTGGCTGAAGCAATGCATTGTAGCTGCTATAAATGACAAGGCTACTGATTCCAATCAAGGCACTATACAGTAACCTGCTTCACTCTTACAAAAGTTGAGACATCTTAGTTTTGGTACCGATAAAGATCAAGTTTGTACATCTATTCCAAGTTCAAAAATATCAATTCAAAGCATCACAAAATCTATTGTTTTGTAAACTGATTTAGGTTTAAACAGCAAGATATTTTAAAATAGTGTGGGTGAATTTTCGAGAATTGCACCTGTTAGAGTTGCAAACCTAAACCCTAAGAATAACAGACACAAACTATTTACCGCGTTTGGGGGAAATACTGACGACTTTCCTTAAAATGTTACTAGGTTTGTTAACTACCTCAGCTTTTTTAACCAGTAATCACAGTTGGGCTAAAGCAAAACTGTACTTATTTAAATACTTGGAAAGATGAGTATAGATTTCATTTTTCTATCAAAAATGTCTATAAATAGCAGTGTATACTTGTCATCTAGATGAATAAGGGATGTATTCAAAAAACGTTTCTTGGCATCGCTATTTAACTTTTTATTTCAAAAAGTAAGTGAAATACCACAGTCAATTCATATATGTAGTAATCACTTATTATGTCATATGCTAGTCTTCTGCAAGGTAGACATACAATTAAAAGAGATTACTCCAGCAACGACATGAGAATTGCTGCAAGATCAGTTATTTACCTTGACAAAAGCTGACGGAGGTCAAGTCCGTGCAGCAACGTTTTGACGTCGTTCCATTTTAGTGTGCAACAGACTTTACGGACATTTTATTGAGTCATAATGCTAGTCGCTCAAACATTTATTCGAAGAAGTCAGTAACTGAATGTCTATTTCCGTGCTTGTCTGAAAGACATGGATATATTTAATATGAATTAGGATTGTAGCGTAGACGTCATAAATATAGTACATGCTATGGGCTTGAATCGGTGACAATTATTCAGCAGTCACTTACAATCCACAAAAAACAAGAGGATAAAAGTAAGTTCTTGATCAAAGATCGTGAATGAGCATACTGAAACAGCAACATCCAACCATTTTTATTTTGCATATGATTAGAAAAGGGGAGGTCTTGCCAGCTGACAATCGGTGTCAATAATCTCATCTTTCTATTCCTGACGTAAAAGTAAATTTGTGTGATTTCCGAAAAAGTACGAGAAAATATATTTCATACCAACAGTACAACAGAGATACATAAAAGCATCATATAAGAACACCTTAGACCTCATACATAAGGTTTGACTTATTCAGCAACCATGGTGACTATATGAAGCGAATAAAAACATAGCATCCCATAGAAAAGATTTAACCACCGTGCATCGAAATTGTACAGTTGAAATGTACAAATGAAAAAAGAGGGCTAAAAGGATGACAGTAAACATGTGTTCCTTATGAACAAGATTACAATAATCAGAAACAGATTTTCACAACGAAATAAAGAATGAAAACACCTAGATCACGAATGCTGACAAATTAGATTGCTCAAACGAACCATTTCAGTAACCTTCAGGATTCAATTTATTAGGCCTTATCTATGCATAAGCTGGAAGTTGACACAATTGTTGATTACACTGACCACTAATATGGCTTAGTTTAGTCAACTTCTAGCAGAAAACTAAGCTTATTTGAGAAAAGACAAATGAAACAAAAAAATCTTTAAAAGTCTTACTAATCAAGCTTTCTTAAACAAGCGGTGCTCCAATCCTTGAGTAAATTTCATTGTCAATGTGATTTGGTTTACTCCATTTTATCTGCTTTCTTACAACATATGACCAAAACAGGGTGAATTAACTGGGTTGTTAAGTAACTCATGAATCTGTTTCTCAGCTCTATGAATCAATCGTATTCTATCATCCAACCGCTTATCATGTGTGGGAAAGTTGAAGCGAAATAGCATAGAATAGTAGCTTATAAACTTTGGTGCATAAATAGTGAAGTTAATCCTCTCATGACTTACATCAAATGGTGAAGGAAAGACTTTGCCAATTATCCTAGACCATATTTTCGTTTTAAACTGCATAGTCTACATTTTGAAAATTGGACAGGATATAAATAATGAAGGAAAAAGAGAAAGTTGTCAAACAAATGAGAAGTACACAACAGATATAAAATTTCACTTTGGAGGTCTGTGGGATTTATTCATTGAATTTAGGTTGGCATTCCCCGTGAACTGACATCAGCTGGAGAAACACTGGAAACCTGGGAGCACTGGACATCTGTTTCGTCATAGTATGGGGCTCCTCAGAACCGTACACCTAAGATCGCCAGGGATTGACCTCAAGACCCTCAGGTTCTGCAGCCATGCTTCCAATGTTTCTCCAACGAATGTCAGTTCATGATGAATACCAACCTGAAATCAATAAGTAAATCCACACAAACCTAGAAATTTAATTGATCTGGTGCTCATTAGTGACTCACTTCGATAAGCGATTTCCGAAGTTCCAATGAAAAGTCATGATTGGTGAGGTCAAACATAAGGACAGTTAATCAACGACAGGATTGGATACTGGTTACTGTATATCATGGACTGATAGAAGTAGGAAACATGGAGCATCGGATTCCAACACAGTGACCCAATGGTAACGTGCTGGCCGAGGGACCTGAATGTCCTAGGCTCGATGCTCGGTAAGGTCACGAGTGCACACAGCTGAGTAGTCAGATGGTAAAAAACACAGCTGTCCAATGCTCCAACGCCTACCATTGCGGTACCGGATGACACTGGTTTGTATTTCTGACTAAGCGTGAGTTTCCTCAACAGTTCAAAATAGCTAAGCACAAACCATGGTTGTTGGTTGTTCTATTTGTCATCTTCAAAAATAAAACAGAGAAATAATGTGTACCTGGACTACCAACCACTTCAAAGATATGATTCTTAAATTCCAGTCAGTGTTAAACACTACACCACATGAAACTGGATTATGTTGGGATTCGATAATTAATATACCCAATAATAAAACTAAAATTACGATGAAAGAGTGAAGTTTTCATACTTCGTTATCAGATTCGTACAATAAATTTTCAAAGTTTCCCAGCATACGATCCAAAAGCTTGTTTATGATGGGCAGCCGTATCTGAATATGTGATGAACTCGTGGTCTCTCCTGTATTATTAGAGCCTCCAGCAGTAGAGACAGGAACTACTACACTTCTTGACGTCATACCTATATGGTCAGATGCTTTCTTAGCAGTCTGCATATTTGCATCAGTATGGCCAGTCCTTTTGTCATGAGAAATGTTCGTCGATGGAGGAGACAAATTATTTTTCTTGAGACATTTTAAAAACCCATCATACCGATTCGAATCATTGTACAACTCTCGCAGTCGACCAACAGTTAAAAATGTTTTCATTGTTACACCATTTCGTAGAAGAATTTTGACAAATTCAAGTTTATCATCTTTTAATGCTTTCAGCATGTAATGCTCTAAAGTTTCTGTGAGAAGAAGAAAAATTATATCAGAGAGTTAAAGTTTCAATTTTTCCAATGTAATAATAAAACAAACTTTTAAGTTCCCCAAAAGCCGTCAAATACTTGTTGCATTATTCGCCTAGCGCCGATGAATGAGTGATGAGACAAAGTACGAAATATATTTACGATCATGGCAGGATTTTAAAAACTATGGGTTGATGCCAAGTTTTTCTGCATTATGCGCTCCCATTAATATGTGCCATAGAGTTCTCCAACAGAAGAATGAATCAACGGAGAAATATACGCTGTTCCTCAGTCAGATAACATAAAATTTAACGAACTCTATCCACACAAAAATTCAGAGAATATATTAATCTACTTTAGCACCATCAGCTATTCTAAGAAAGTTTGAGATATTATTTTGAAACAGTGATTAGGATACTGAGTTCAATGCCTGACAGTAAATGCATGATTTCACAATCAGATATAAACAACCCTATGAAGACAGTAATGATCAAACTAAGCTACCAACATGTTTGGGTGAAAATCATCACATATGATGTCCAGACATCAGAGGTGTCACTGACCTGACATTTACAGCTAGACGCAAGTTATAGCGGTGTCAGTGACACAGACTGATACATACCTAAGTGGCTTTTCATATACAGAGATTGCCAAAAAATACAGCTTCACATATATAGCCTTCAGCAGTTCTCTAAAAAGGATGAGTGCAGACTCAACCTCCTGCTACTGTTGTAGCAAAAATTACTTCTGGTTGGTGCATACAAAATGATGTATCACTGAGCACGCAGATTACCACTATATCTCCCATTGCAACTTGAACAGATTATATCTCACCAGCAAATTAAAGACTAAAAAACACTTTTAACTGTCTACGAGTGCACATAAAAATAGGAATTTGTCAACTCTAACTAAATATCTTGTCTATACATTCTGACAGCCAGATATCCAAGTCCTTACACAGAACTAGTACAACTTATGCATGATAAAACTTGTAAGTAATCTAGTTTCTAAGCCAATCTGCACGTTGCCTAATCAACGGTAAATTATGAATACTAAGAGAAATCTACTGAGAATCTTAGAATTAATCAGTTAAGGACTGTTGCAAATAACATTTTCAGACAAATAAGTAAGGAATAAATCCAAATTTGATAAGTAGGCTGCAGTTTCAACATTGACGAAATGTTGTTTGACATAGACAGTAAGTGCAAAACTATAAATGAAACGAAAAATATTTCACTATGACAAATAGTGAAAGTCTGATAATGTGTATTCATGGTACTTGAAATGTTTATTTGGATACTTGAGTTTTATGCAAATGCGTGGTATTATTTTAATATCCTTAAGTTAGTACTTAGCAGTTTTAAGAGACTACCTCCCGATTTTATGACTCAAATGTCTTTCCCGAAGCTCACCAGATTAATATTAGTACTTAAATTTGTGCAACAACCATTAACCGAAATGCATCTATTTGCTATCCAGAGATATGTGAACAGTGTTGGTTATAAATAAAGTTTTCAAATCTTTCTGGTTGACCAGAATGAGTCAGTGACCACTTTGATACGATAACGTAGAGAAAGGTCTAGTGAATGGTTTTGAACTGGTTGAAAACCATCAGAAGAGGGCACTCAGCCCTGCTGTCAACATACAGGTGCATAATGCTACAAAGGTTTTGAGATTCCTAAGTGAGATGCAGGATGATTAGGGCTGACAAATTGAAGAAGACATCTCGAAAAGGATGATTCTTTTAGTGTTATTTTCAATGGAGGAGGGGGGATGAACTACATTATCTAGTGTGGCAATTTTAAGTCCACTTACAAACTATCCAGTCTAAAGTAACTGATGTGAAACTTGGCAAATTAGGTGGTTATTCATAAAATTTCAAGAATAAGATACCATCAAGTTTTGTAAAATGGTGATTGCATATACAACATATGCGAAAATGTCGAAAAATAAGAGGAAAAAAGAGTATGCACTGCTTCTACTAGGATAAATTGTGATTATGGTCATACATGCAGAGGGAGGAGTAGTCGAGCCATGCAACTGAGGGTAGGAGAACATATACTGAAATAGCTTCAAAATCGCTGTTAAAACAGCTTTCAAAGTTTTGTATAAAAACAGCCAAAGATGCATACTGAGATTTGCGGAGGCGACAGCCATACAACAAATATAAAGCACCTTTATGCACACAAAAATAATTTATTCTTACACTACACCTATTTTGGTAAACTTTGTTTTCTTACCAAGATGAGGATCAACTGTCAAGCTTCCTTTTTGTTTTTATCTTAATTTTAGTCCCCTATAATCTTGCGTTATATTTTTCCTTCCACTCTTCGGTTTATTATAAAGTGACTTGACAAGTACATGTGTGGTCAGACTGTTAAAAAGGTATTGCACAAACACATCAATTCAGAGGTTTCCAGGGATTTATCGATTGATTTCAGATTGGTATACGTCATGGACTGACATCAGTTAGAGAAATATCACATTGTTCAGATAAACTTAGCCTTCTAATTACACTATTTAGATTCATTGAAAGGACTAACTGTTTCAGATCGCATATACATCTACATCATCATTTATTATGAGTCACAACATCAAATTGTAAACTGAATTAGATTATCACATGGCTCAGAATACCACTGATGGTTACTCAGGTTGGTATATTATATTGATCTAACTGGCTCAAGATCTATCCTATGTCCTACCTCACTCAAGGTCGTTTATTTACGTAGACAGCGATTGAGAATGATCACCATAAGATCCAACAATCCCAGTCGATAACATCTCACAATCTGACTGATTGAAATACTCATAAAATTTATCAGTAACCATATTTTGCACAGGGTAGACAGACGTCACGTGGTTGAATGCTAGTTAATGTCAACCCAGGTTTTCCTGGCAGTCGATCAGCCTTTCAAGGCTGGTGTAACAAATGAGGCAAATGAGAGGGGAATGAGTTAACCACTTTAAAAACTCAACAGTCGAACTAACTGACTGTCCTAATCGGAAGTCGATAAGAGAGGGACACAATCTAAACACTAATAGGGTTCACACGACTTTTTATCTTGTCAGCATTATTGTCCACTATTTAAGAAATGTTCCTAAATTGCCAAAATATTCAATAATGTAAGGTTGAACACAAGTAGTTGTAAGTGGAAAACAAGTGTCAACTATTTCACTGATATCAAATGAAAACTTACCTAGTTTAATTTTCTGACCTTCTCGGAATATTTTCTCCTCCAAAATATGACTTCTTTCCCAGGTAAATGCCAACTCCAATTGCTTGTCTGAATTGGATGATGCTTTAATCAATGCCGATAGGATAGCTAAATCTAAATCACTTGATTGACTCATATCAAAGATAGTAATCAACTGTGTCTTTTGTACGATAAATTCAATCATTTTGACAATGTCATGAACTTTACCTAGGTCACCGTAAACAGGAATTATTAATCGTTTTAGTTCTGATATTTCTTTCTCCGAAAAGCCTTGAAACTCACTGGTTATTCATTTGGTAGTGATTGAACAATTTTAGCGTTATATCAAACCGAAATTCGAAGGGAAAAAAGTTAGTAGATGATAAATTCCTGACAAAACTGTATTTTATGGATATAATACAATCTCTTTACTCTTTCTACTATGAGAATATACGTAGTTCCAGGGATGGAGATTAAGTTATATTGGGTTCGTCACTCTGCATTTCTAAATCATTCATCTTTCTAATCGTAAGAATTTGTTGGTTTTTGTGTTTTCCTGGCGTTCGTTTCCTGATTGCCGTCTTACAAGACGGTATAGGTCTTAGGCGTTCAGCATTGAATTATCTTTAATTTTATAGCCTTGCACTCATTTTTTGTGTCCAAACTTGCTTTCTCGACTAGCAATGATTCCCCGCATGACTGTCAATGATGATCGTTTTGTCCATAGCCTCTGGTTTATACTGTATTTTCGGATTGGAAGCAACTTAAGTTAACTCCTAGAAGGCATAAATGCTTTATTAGTATGAGTTGTCTGTATCTTTTATCGAGCCCTAGTTCTGTAAGACATTCTGCTGAAGAAAATTTCAGTCGTAAGGCTGAGTTCGGTATGGTTCAATACGTAAGCTAGAACTTCTCGATGATTTCATCAGTTGTTTATGCTCTGAGACTTTAGAGTGTTTTTGCTTTAAAAGTGTTAAAAAGAACCACTCTACTTGACCTTCAAACTGTGGGCGATAAGGTGATGACTGGATGGTGTTCCAGAGACGAAATTAGCAAACTCGGATGATATCGACTGTAAACCTCTGTTAGACACAATGATATATGAAATTACTAGTTACTCAAAGGTCCTCTGAAGTGCAGAAATCGTTGAAAATGACATGATATGCCATAAAATAATGATTTCTGGGGTGTACTGCAAGAAGTTGGATCTTTCTCTTTATTTCATTATGCAAGTATGCATGAAGTTATCACATTAATATTTCATCTTATTTGCATGACTGAGGGATGATTTGCTTTGAAATTTTGGCTTTTTGGAAATGAGTGCGTTCTGTAACTCATCTGATAATCTATCGGTATTTTCTTGGATCAGGAACACAGATGTAAATAATAGTTGTCATTCTTTAAATACGATCGATCATGTTTCTTTGTCTAGTTGCTTTCTCAGATAATTATAACATCCACCTGTTAATCATTCAGTTATTTAAAGATCTAAATTTTAAGAGATCATACGGTTCAAAGTTGATTACGATGGTTCGTATGTATCTACGCTTCAATAAATCCTGAACACACCATTTTTAATCTCTTTTCTTTTGTCGGTGCGTTGTCTTCGGACCATTTAGAATTTACTTCGAAGTAAAAAATCAAAATTCTGTCTACAAGCTACATAACACTGACAAAGGGTTATATAATGAAATGATAAATACGCATGAAAAATGTATTACTGAGCTCAACCCAAAAGCTTTGAAATTGTCACCAGTTTAGGTTTTCATCAATCCAGGCTAAATCATGTTCTAGTATCCGATTCAGACACTTATAGTGAAATTTGAGTACTGCAATACCACTGAAGATGAGACATTTTCTCTCTGGTAGGAAATCCGAAGGTAAACTTTCTAGTCAACGAAGTGTAAATAAGGAACTATTTGAGCACCGTGTAAACTTGTAATCAAACTTTTTGAATACAAAAACAGCTTTCTCCATTTCTCCTCAGTCTGAATTCATTATAATGTAGTGTTGAATCAAAGTGATGTTACTGTCAGTGTACTATATGCAGAATGTTTAAAGCTTCTGTGTTCCTTACTTAGTATTCCATTGTAAAACCAATGAAAGTGAATTATTATCGTCGATAAATTACAAAGGTGTTTAAATTATCTACTATCTACTTTGAATAAAATTTGGCCGCATTGTAACCTATTCCTATGGTTGAGCTATTTATCAGCGTCATCATTACATTCTCTCGCATGATATCGCTTTACCTCAGAATTGATTTAAAAGTTTCTCTATTGGCCTACATATTATCACAATAAAAACAGTGTCCATATCCAATAACTTACTCATAATTTGAATGGTAATCCACGGCTAATTCAAAAAGACGGGCTGTTCGTCCAGTACCCGAACAAATCACCACCGGCACATTTTTCTCTATACTATTCTTAACATCAATACATACATTGTAATCAATTTCTACAACTACTAGGACAACTGGGATACCAAAACCACCTCCTAAAAGTAAAAGTCAATTAGTTTTAGCTCTGACATTTGTAGATATGACGAATTATAATCACACATGTAAAACTAAACGATAAATTTAAACAGCACAGCTAGTTAGTGTGAACTCTAGGTACAAAAATAACCGAAGGGTAACCAAAAACAACTGAAATTAAGTCAGTAGCTCAAATGACAAAGACCATCTAACTACAAACAGCTGAGCCAATACTCTAAGTCTTAGTTGACTGGTGTTATATCTTGACTTTATCATTCTGGGGTTTCGTCTTTCCCAATTGTGCTCTTTCTAACCTAGATGGTGGTTGGATACGTATATACTACCATACGGAAGACGAAGTTTCACCACCTTGTCACTCGATATACACCTTTCACCCTATACATAATGCTTAACATTAGCGTTGCTGACACTGATTCCCTAAAAACCAAACGACTCTTCGATGACGGTAATAATGAGATATGTGGCAACTTTTCATGTCTTATTCCCTCGATGGGCATGTTTCACAGTACTATGGTAAGACACATCACACTGTTATGTAGCACACTTGGAGAATAATAAACATTCGAGTATTTCATTCAGTTAAACCAACTGATAAACTTGGATCTGCTGATAATTCGATAGATGTATGAAGTGAAAAATGTGTATACCTGATTACAACAAAACCTAAAATAAAAATAATTGAGATAAATATTTAGTTCGAACAGTGTCAACATAAAGTGTCTGAGTGTGAAAAAAATAAGAAAGTGTGGCATTGTGGGCAAAATAGAGATAGAACTTTATTATTATTACTATTATTAGATTAGAACACAAACTTATTACAATATAGGTACCAAGAAGTGCACGATTCAAAGCCTTCAAACAACACTATGAATAAAACCACCAAAGAGATTACAGAAACAAAAACAGAAGTGATTTATTCAACATGAAGTTTCGAAAAAAAATCCAAGAAAATACTATTCTCGTTTTTGCTTTTCAGCAACTTAGGAAGCAAAAAACTGGCGCATGATCGCCACTCATTTCCATTGTTAGCCATGTTTTATATCGTCTTATGCCAGTGAGTTTTATGATCTCTCAGGTCCGACTCAGAAAGTCACGAGGCACCTGCGGGTGCTAAAGCAACACATCTGTCCGTCCCACAGTGACACATAATACACTGGCCACCTCTCCGCTCCTTTCCACCAGTCTCAGGGCATGCGAACAGTAAGCGGTTTGGTAACTACTGGGATTATATATATATATATATATTATATGTCTTAGCTACCAAAGAAGGCGTTTAAGGATGACAAGTCTGAGTGACTAACGATCTCCATCACGCCTAAAACCACGCTGCCTCGTCTTAGAATTACATACATAGTATTTCAACTAGATGCTGGCTGCATTGGAAAGAAAACGGTGATCGTAAACGTAGAGTCATCAGACTTGTTCACCTCAAGAAGGTCAGATTTCAGAGCTGTAGGGTAGAACTGTTTGAACCACCTTGCCATGTACCTTACCTTTGAAGCCTAAGGTATTGTCACAGTGGTGTCAAAAATGGACCCACATAAGCGTATGATACTCCAATATTCAATGCTGGGCTGGAGTTTTCGTTAGGTCTGCCTTCACCATTACTCAGACAACTACCTGCGCATGTTATTTTTTCAGAAACTTCTAGCTTTCGGTTATCAAAGATCAGCGCAGGTAGAGGTACCAGACAACCTTGTAGAGCCACTTTACAGTTTGATTGAACAAAACACACACCATATTTACGAACACTGAGAGCAAATTGGTTGAGTGTGATTTGAGTAGCGTATATGTTGAGACACAGTAGAAAAGTCTTCCAAAAGACAACAGGCCTACAACATCACCAAGAATTTCCTTTACGGATCTTTCTAGATTATCATCAATGGCAGAGTAATGACGAAGTCGGACAGTCATGCCTAACCCCAGTATTGGTGTGAAAAAAGGTGGTCGTATGCCTTGATTCTAAGTGACGTGTTAAACTATAAGGTTTTCAGGATGCTAACAAATTTTTCAGGGGTATCTGCCTATGAAAGATAATTCAGTAGTACAAACTTGTTCAGTAAGTCAAAAGCAGTCTCAATATTGAGAACTGCAACGATCTTTGTTATGTAGTACGTGCGACGGTATTCCAGTGTCTAGTGGAGGGTGAACACGTGATCAGTGTTTAAATGACCTGTAAGTAACTGAGCCTGCTCTTCACGAATCACATTCTCATGGATTTCGCAAAGTCTGTAAAGTATGATAACAGTCAGTAATTAAGATTCTGCCGGCGGAAAACTGATACTACGTAGATTTTCGCACGCATTAAGTCGACTTTTTTTGGAGATAAGTACATAAATGCATTTATTTCAAAGTGATAAAACACTCAGTCTGACATATATGCTTCAATACTGAAGTCAGTTCCCTGACTGCAGTCTTACTAACATACTGAAAAAGAGCTGAAGGTAGGTTGCCCGGCCCAGATGCTTTATGATGCTCCATAACATGAAGTTTCTTGAGAACCTCTACTTTGTTAGGTGGGTCGCTGTTGGCTGACCAAGGTGTGCAAGATAATGAGGTTGGTGTCAGTGAAGTAGTAGTTCAACTGAACTCTTTTCCTAAGTGCTTTGCATAGCATTCATGCAGCCCAGAAAGTTTCGTGATCATCATGCCGTCTAATTAGCAGATTATTTTATTGACATCAGACTTCTTGCTGTAAGTGTCCCGAGTGAGTTGGAACAGCTTCCAGTTATAGCCAATTGCAGATGCTGCTTTGATTTCATTCATGCTTTTTAACTACCGGCCCTGGTGGTTCATCCATAAATTTTGTTTGATCCTTAGTGTATGAAAATTACGCACACCACTGTACTCGCTATCTCCAAGGTCATATCGATGAGCGTATAGAGGTTTCAAGGAGCTCGCAGAGAACAACTTTCTATTACTGACACGTCCTTCAAAACCACAAGGAGATCAAATTATGTTTTGGTAAAAATTAATAAATATATTGATGCAGTAGAGTACAAAACTCAGTAAACATCTTTATTATGCGTGATAAATCTTGACTATCAAGTTTATTTTAATAGTATACAGTTAAGAATTCGAGAAATACCTGAATCCCTATAAAAACTTTAGTTGTAAGATAGTGGAACTGTTTTAAAAATATCAAGCATCAGTAAAACAGAAATTACTTCATAGAAAATACTTGTTTCCAAGTACAGTAATGTTCAGGTGAGACTGTCTAATAGAATGTGTTGGTGCATATAATTATGTGTTTAAGTGAATCTAAAAGTTACTGATCAATGTATGAACTCGAAATAATTACGTCTCATCTAGTACATAATAAGCTAATTAAAATGGATTTACAGTATAACGCAAAAATTTTTCAACAACAATGGAACTGAGTGAAATAGTAGATTGCATACCTAAGGTACTTTTTGAGTAGGCATCGATCGGCACTTTAACTTACATACAAGTTGGCGGATTCTCCAAGTTAAATGAAAAAGTAGGTCAAATTAGGCATCAAACTATAGTTAACTTGTAACAATATAGTTAAAACTCATCCACTGAGTACTTCCTGCCTCTTAGTAACCAAAATCTAACAATAAATCACGACTACTTATCCAACTTTTATCTGTTTTTGAAACATACTATGTGGTAACCGTCTATAACCAGAAGGTCATGGAGTATCCTTATGAGTGAAAGTTGATCAAATGAATAAAATGCCAAGGACAAAAACATTAATAAGACTATTTTTATTTTATTTTGCGGTAATAAATATGAAAAATTATTTTAACAGATAACAACAATTTCTGAGTTCTATTATTAACTGCTTTAGGCTGTATTCAACTTTACCTACTGTTGGAAGATTCATACTATTGGATAATGATACTCAGAAAGCTATCAAGTACCAGTACACATGTTTCATCTGCAAGTAGAATAAAATGCTTTAGGCAAAGTTAATGTATTCATCAAATTATATCGAGCTGTTACATCTAAAGATTGATAAGGACCTTTACCCAACAAGCATAATTCAGTGAATTTAATTTGCTTACCTTCTATAGGAAGAGCAATTTTTTGTTCCAGTTTAGCTCGAAATTCAGCCGATTTACTCCCACTATATTTTAAACGGTAACCGTCATCCACAAACACGTAATGTGTATGATTTGGGTTCAAATAAACTGGAGTGTCTGCAGCGACATACTCTGATACTTCATATCGTATGGGTTTATCATGTTCCTGAAGGAAAAAAGAGTAACTAGTACAGCAGGTGACAAAGATACAGTCAAAAGTGATGCTTGAAGGTACTTTTGAAGTGATGGAAAAGACTCATAGTTCAAGACGAGGATGATGCTGGTTTGGCGCTTTCTGAACTGCGATATTGAAGTTCAGTTTTGACTAGAAATTATCTGCATTATGAGCCCAAACAAATTGAACTCAACGCTACATCGTGAACTGACAGACTCAGGAGATGTGGACCATTGGGTCTGTGGTGGGGTCATGGGTGCACACGGTTGAGGAGTCCCATACTAGGACGAAACAGCTATCCAGTACTCCCACGTTTCCAATGCTCCTCCAAATGACGTCTGTCCATTATGAATTCCAACCCAAAATCAGTTAACAAACCTCCACAAACCTCCAGATAAAATTGAAGTACTGTCAAAAATAGAAACACAATAAAAACCTGTTCCATTCTTAATAACCTGGTCCTAACTAAGGTATCTTATACGGTGAATACGCTGATATGAAGTCAATTTGTATTTTGTCAAGTTTATTTTATTTATTATTCAGTATATATCTGAACATATCATTCTCATATCTGACCCAGATAACTAAAATAGTTACAGCTTGAAATAAAAGCTTCAAAACTTACAAATCAAAGTACATTGCTCATAAGTATTAAACTGACAACCAATCTAAATGTTCTCATGAAGTCAGTTTTATCCTGAATGAGGCGGGATTAAATGGCTCTATTTACTCGCACCCTTTATCGATTTACTGATTCATTTTAATATTTTACTACTTTTCATAAGTGATCCGACTGTTTTTTGACTGGTAATGGGTACCATGCATTTCGAGATCAATTTGAAAGTCTATAAATAGGATTATTTCATGAGACAAAATAGGATATACAAATTGGTGTCATTAGGTGTATCATCCCTTAATTAATACATAACGTGAAATCTACTTGAGTGTTGCGTTTAATATAAACCTAGTTTCAAAGTCAGGTACATGACTGATCAACATATTCTGGTGAAACAACTGTTATAACTTAGCCAAACGGGAATTACTAACAATTACGAATCAGTACATAGAAAATTCCTACTTAGATATTTAGAAAAAGGACTAGTGAATCAAATGTACTACTAATAATAATAATATCCAGCTCAGCAACGAAATACAATTCCATAGGTTATATTGTCAACTACATTTATCCCTATGGTTATTCTTAATACTTAGCTGCTGAAACATTACTAGGTAGAGTAGAATTCAAACCAGTAACCAACGTATCAAAAGCTCGCTGTCTAAACCAGTAAGTAACAGCATCATGAGGAATGGATTCCTCCGTCACCTCAGGCTTTTACTATGAGTATCACGATTGTGTCACTTTGTATATCTGGTATAACTGTGTAGTAGTACAATGTTACTGGAAATGATCAACATGAATATAGAACCCCAAAATGAAATGTAGGCTGATGTTTAGAAAACAGAAAGAACAATAATATCCTAACGCAAATAGCTACCCATTTAGGTAGTGAACTTGCTTTGCGCTTAACAAATCCTTGGGATATCAGACCACCGATAATGGCTGGAATAGGACAGCAGTAATGAACTCAGTTCAAGATTTATACCTAAGAAATCTGTTACCTTTCAAAAGAGAAAACTAAAATTGTCTCGCTTATCACTTTTTTCTATCGGTAGATACTAAAATATATTGTGATAACCTTTATTCATATGAAGCTGTTGGTTTCTTCAAATGCATAAATGATAAGAGGAATATATATAAGTTTAGGGCTGTGATAAGTTAGAGGCCGTCTAGTTGTGAGTTTCACACACCCAAAGCTACCACTGCAGTGTAACTATTTTCTTCGATACCACTCCTTAAACTGAAGCTCGATTCTAGAAAACAACTCAATCTAAGCCTATTTGTATGTACTGAACTTAATGTCATTCAAATTAAATACCATTTACCTCAGAAATGAGCGTTTCTCGATTAAAAACGTAACCCCATGGAGCAATTCCAAGGCAACGAAGAGATCCAGACGCTTCATATCTATCGAAATAGAAATTTTGGTCTTGTAAAGCATTCCCGACAATTTTTGCAACACCGAAATTTAATCCAGATGTTAGAATCCAAGCCTTGGTGCTTCGAGCCGCTTGAAGAAAACCCTTGGATGAAAATGCGAGATAAAGTAGGTATTGAATGAAAAGGGGGGGAACCAGATATCATAAGGGGAAGAATCAAAGGAAACGAATCCATCCTAAACAACGGTAATAAACAGTTTCGAAACTATGCATTTTCAGAAAAAGAACACTAGTTTTCATGATGAATGACGGATTTCCTGTATTTCATACTTATCTCAACTGCAATAAAGCAGAAAACCACCTCAAAGATCCCACCTGATGATTTAATTTGAGAGATAATCATTAATTGATACTGACTAGAGTATCACTCTAAATCGGGTATAACTGTGCACATTTTTCATCTCATTCTAGATGCCTCAGCATCGTAGATATTAATTACTAAGAAAAAATCCTCGAAGCTAAATTGTCATCATTTAGGATAACTAGCTATGCACTGACAACAAATTTCTCAAAAAAATCATGAATTGAATGACAGTGGAAAAAACTGACATACGAATTTACGGATGCAGCAGTATCTTATTTAACTATCACGTAGTTCTGCACCTTAATTTAGGGAGTGCTATATGTATGCGGTGTAAGAATTTCAAAGTTTGAATAAACACCTGCTTTTTAGGATTTCAACTATTTTTTATGCAATTCTGTGTATTTTAAAATAAATCAGAAAATATAATACACATGAAAAACTAACTGAATAAAAAACATCTTTTCTGTGTCCTTCAAGAAAAAAATCATTTGCTACACCGATGACAGATATGCACAGATTTGGTTTTTCCGGTTCCATCATTTTCCAGTGATCCTTGATCAGTGTCATAACATCCTCTAGTCTATCTTCATCTGATATTCGGACAAACTGTAATGAAGAAGAAACAACAGCTTTTAGAGAAACATGAATTGAAGCAAATCAACCTTTATACTCTTAGTAGAAGATTCATATAAAAATGAACAAAGGTAAAAGCTGACTGATTAAACAACGTGTGTACAACCATTTGAATTATGGGACATTGTGCAAGCGAACACTCAACTTAATTATTGTATTGATAAAAAGTAATTAGAAGTGATGAACATTCGTGTCACATTCTGTAATTTAAATAAGATCCTCTTGGTGTGCCTAGTTTCTAAATAACCGGGGAAATATGGTATCACATCTACTCCTGAATGACTTGATCTTGATTGCTTCCCACCAAGGGGATAAGCACAAATTGGTTAGATGTCGATGGCTTTCTGAAAGCCACCAATAGCTTACATGTTAGTTTCTACAGGTTTAAACGTAGCTACTGCTCCTTAAAAACATCGACTGTTTTTTATTCAACTGTTTAATTATCCAATGAATGCATATGCATTAACTAGACTGCATGACTATTTCAGTAACTTCTATAACAAGGTTTCTCCATTGAAGCTGTTTACTACCTCCACTTTAGTGATCAGATTCACTTATCTTGTATTTTATGATGTTTAAAATAGTCTATATATGATATAATTCTTCGAATCTTGTGAACAATATGAGAAAACCGTTCAGAAAGTTAACTTAAACTTAATTTGTGTGATATACGAATACACTTCAACTCTAATGCAAACTATTTATGAGGTAAAATGCCAAAACCTCGCGATAAATCAGAATATAGCTAACCAGTAAGAGCTGAATAAAAGTTAACTACTGAGAACTTTTGACTTCTTCGAACCCCCAACTTTTGTGATCACCCCTTTTTGTTTTCTATCTTCAGTAACAGCGGAAAAGATTTTACCTAGAAGTATTAGTATGCAACTACTGTTACAATAAACGGACAATTATTTATAAAGTAGGGACAGATCATTCAGAACTTGCTTGAGATGTAAGAAAAATTCTAATTTGCCAACAACAATTCATGAGAAAAGATTAAAAATATGAAAACCAATTTCGTACCTATTAAGTCTTCTTGATGCAGTCGTGAACAATAAATTGTGTCTGAAACATTCTCGAGAAGAATTTTAATCTACCAAAGTACTCAATTTCCCTCCTCATTAACATCCAGGAAACAACCCTTATACTTTTAATGTCATCCATAGTTCATTAAGCTATGATACCCATGCATTAAAATCCATCTGTGTATAGGCGTTAGGATTTATGGGGCTCTTATAGGGAATTACTAAGGCAAACAAAATGACATAAAATATAACATTCGCCAACTTAGTGGTCATCTTTTTATTTCTCAACCTGCTTCATTCATGACTGTCTTTTGAAATTCTACCATTCTTGCCTTAGTGCATCCAGAACCTAGAACACTGAAATAATAAGTGATTAGTTCCACTGTAAACTGTCATGCGCATTCTTCCATAACTATGTGGTCACTGTTCCATATTTCGCATTTATTTATAATAAGACTGTTCTGACAACTAAGGATATCTAATATACTCCAATTTACAACAAAAATGAAAGTTTTCCTGCCAGTAATTTGCTTTATGTCTTGAGTGACAGTAGCTTCAGTGAAATTAGATTTCAACACCTAAATCTACAGTTTGTGCAAATGCCAGCGTAGAACATTAACTAGAGTTTTCTCTTGGAACGCCTTGTTGATAAATATATGAAGCCAATAGCTGTTCAGCGATCAGTGGAAAAAATATTCTCATGTGTGTGGATAAGTAGTTGACCAGCTTTATAGGACAGGACTCCAAAGCATCGGACCAGATAGTTTCCAAAGGGAACACTCATTGCATCAATTTGATAAACCATTGTTTAAGTAACCATACCAAACATAGAAACATTTCTGAAGCGTGATATGAGGAATTGAAAAGTTTTGGACTGAAAGATGAACTTGAGTGATACAGGTTGAAATAATACTTAATGAGTCATCAAGTAAGTTTTTAAACGCATCGATCAGTAAAGTTATTCATTTATTAAGAAATTAAGCTGTTTACGGTTATGGTGGTGAAAAACATATAGTGTGATAACTGGGAAGAAAATCCTGGTGCCAACGTATAAACTGGCAGGTTTTCTTCAGATTCCAAGCTGTATGTTACTTTGACCTTCTGCTGGGTTTAGACTGAGTACCTATTGTTAAGTAATAATAGTTGATTCTACGGGGGAAATGATTGGTTAAGGATTGAATTATGTGCCGAATATGCATACGATATAACATGACATGGCCAAGTGAGACGTCTTCATCGGAAAGAAACTATTGGGTAACTCATGACTTTGCTAAAAATGTAAACTAAACAATAATCAAGAAGACTAGCAGACTTATCGTATGATCGTGTATCCTTTGACCAAATAAGTGTTAGATATGAGTCATATTCAGATAAATCCCAGTTTGTTCTAAATTAACTAATCCAAACTTTCAGTGTGGAAGTTTGGTCTGAGTTTTTTATAAGGGAGACAATCAGATCACTTATAACCTCTATCTTATGTTATTTTTTATTTGGCAACCAATTTTTACGATACTATTCAATCAAGCTTTGATCATATTTCACAGATATTAATTTATAAATTAAACTTAATGTTATACAACAAACGAAACTGAGCATATGAACAACTAAACGCTGACAACTGTTTCAGAGAAAAAGAAGCAATCATAAGACGGCAAATGATTTCTTATAAACGTAAAGTTGCTTTAATGTACAACATATCAGTAAGAAAGATTGATGTTTAACGCTTCTGACAGAAATACTCTGATAGTAGTAGATTATTCATTGTTTATACTAAAGAACAGAATGAGAATTGTTCGTATTTTTCCATGTACTTCATGTTTAATAATCATTTCAAACCCTAATTATAAGCATCAACTATTTAAGTTTGGGCTTGAAACAACTTTTTCTTTTCAAATACGAATATTCTTGAGAAATTAAATTACTTTAAATGCAGACAAATCTCAGATCACGTATGACGGTTACTTTTCAAAAATCCTTAGAACAATTATTTTTTCAGCCAGCTCTATAATAAATAGATAAATTTATACTTCAGAAGTATACATTTACTAATCCCTAATGCTTTTAGTAGATAACAGAATAATTTAATTAACAGCCATTTAAGCAGTTTCAAATAAGCAGTTTGATACTTCTCAACAGTCTTCTGACCACCCTCATAACTACTAGTCTAGGAACTCAGCTATCTAACCGACGGTCTTTGAACATTAGAAGCCTGTTTCATACTTTTGTGACCAAGTGCAACTACTATTTATCTGGCACATTTCCCTGACAGTCAAACGGTGCATGTCATCTAAATGTCCCAGCCCATACACTCTGAAATTTTTGGGTGAAAATAAAACTGCGTGGCTTCTGGGATGAGTAACATTACTTTTTAAAAGGCTTATATTTCCTTCAAAAGTTTGAAAAGTTGATATGAGCACCTAAAGATTGTTATTTAAAATTTCTAGAACCTCTAAAGGGTACCTAAAGTTTGCAGTAATTCTATACTGCATTCAAAGTACTTTTCGAATTGTTCTCAAAGTGATCAAGATGCATCCAGTGTTATTCAGTTTGGATAGGCTACTGTCAGAAACAGTCGAATAACTCAAAAACTCGGTCAGACATTTTGACTGATACCTAGACAATTTGAGGATAGTTTATGAGAAGTAATTTTGTTCAGAAGACCATCAGAAACCAGGAAGTGAATTTTAATGAGTTTATGCATCTGTATGCTAATCAGCCTTTATCATAATAATTAATTAGTTAATAAATGAACTAAAAATACTACTGAAATGTCGCTTCAGTTAAATTTTCCCACTGTATGTCCATTCAAGAATCGGCAACATAGGTTAGTTTTCTATGGCTATGGGGTGATGAAATTGGCGGGTACTTTCTATAATCACTACCAAGTACATGAAGTTTACATACACTTGTTCACATACACATACGTTTAAGGAAATAAACAAGTTTTCATTGAATCACTGATAACCATGGGTTGCAGATGTGAATGAAACGTGAACACTGGTTAGTGACATAATTAAAAAGGGATGACTGTGTCGGCTACTGAAATGGGCTATCAATTTTAATCAGTGGATAACAAGTTATAGAGTGCTCACAAGCAATAAGATTTAAGAAGTCGAATACAATTGTTAAACGTCACACAACACGTATGGCTAATACAGCTACGCCTAATACGCGAACCTGCACGTGGATAACGAAATTCATCGTTACAAACAAACTGCGTCGCTAACCGAGAGACGTTTAAAGATGCGATTAACTTCAGTCTTAAAAAGATAAGATAAATCATATTCAAAAAGGGCGATCAACTGATTACTGTCTACATCGATAAACAAAGTATAGACGACTAGATACTTAGATGTCATTTGGCACCTGGTAGATAAGTAGTCACCATCAAAAGTCACCTAAATGTACAACGAATCCAGATTTTCGGATAATGGGAAAACTTTGGGATAGTGCAATTCAGTGGTCACATTGAGGCTTGCGTTCCAGGTAATAAGTTAAACCTTTTGTCTTTTACGAACAATATCTTATTAGCGAAAATCCCAGACTTGAGGCTATGTTCGAATCGATGATTTACTAGTTAAAACTGAACTGCATGCAGAGATAAGATACTACTGAATATTCATGACCATGTTCAGTAACACACTAAGAAAACAAACTTCTTAGCTCTGTCTAGGATTTGACAAATCCTTTTATCTATAAAACTGTTTATTTATGCCGGTCATTGAAAGAAACAGTGATCTAGATGCCTAACAGATGATTATTGGGTATTCACACATAGAACGGAATTCACCTGTTTTTATTTGAGTAATCACAGTTATCGTCCGTAATCAGCTTATTGTCCGTCACTGTAGTTGTATGCAGCTACTGTGGTATTCTCATAGCCGTATTGCAGTACGCTGAGGACGCAACAACTTACGCTGCATCTTATTACTAACGAAGTGGGTCGTTTTATAGATTTAAAAAGGTATAGTTGTAATCCTAATTAAAGTCAAAAGGTCGAAAAAAAATAGAAACAAACTGAATAGTATGATACTGTTCAATCTAAAAGGCTTATCGTATGAAATATGATTGGTCAGTTAGCAGGGAGTCATAGTTTTACTGTTGAAAGCTGCTAATCTAGATCACCTTCGAAGCTATCTTGACCTTAAATCTGCTAGAAAGAGCTGGGTATACAGTCGGTTTCCCAAAAGTATATTTCCCATTTTATGCCATGCTAATTGTATTAATTCTACACAGTTTGCAGCTGAGAATTCGTGAAATAAATATTAGCTTAATTTATTCTACACATGTTGTCCTTGTTGCTTTGATGAAAATCATCAAAGGAACAGGCTGTATGAATATTTTTTAAGTGAAAATGTCTTACTGACTAAGCGAATCTCCTGACAAAAAAATCAGCCAGGCTAATAACAAAGTACTTTTCTCCCTTCCTTCTCTTGTTTTTCTGAGAGTGTAAATTCCAGTAAATCCCTGAGTCGTTGAAAATAAATGATTTGTTCATCTTTCAAGAAGCGTCACAACAACTTTTAGATCCCTGGTGTGCTGATGACGTTGTAAAACATTAGGTTAATAGTGGTGTACTTACTCCTTTTCCTTTCGTCGGCCAACTGAATTCATCAGAGTGGTTCACTTAGAAGCTTTAGGCAGTCACACAAGTTAATATGGAACTTTGCAAGCAAAGGCCACAATTAACAACAACAAAGAACGAGGAAGTGGAGGGGGAAGAATAATACTAAGTGAATAGTCAGAATTATCTTAATACATGTGAGGTTACCTTCTCTCGAGAATACATGGTGTTGTTCTTACACTAATCTGTACTTCAGCAACAAAAAAGGAGAATTACTCTGAGAAAATCGCTTCAAACCTATGTTCAGACTAACGCAATTGTGACAAAATCATATCAAAAACGATGCTGTAGAGTCGATACGAATAAGTTAAAGTAATTTTTCTTATGATATTTTATGGCTACCACTTTTCCGTGAATGATAACTGTATACTATGACTCATGAATATCTTTTAAAAATAAATATATCACGCTTCAACTACTAAGATACAAATCAGATGTACTAGGTGAATCCAAATTAAACCACCTGATTGTTCGAATTGTAAAAGTTGGTTTTAACCTGCAAATCGCTAGGTAGTGTTGAGTGCTCAGAGAATTGCTCAGTAATGGATAAATCACTGAAATCTCAATATGAAGACGTGAAGTTGAACATAATTAGTGTAAAATTGTTTAAATGAAAACACTTACTTCTGCTGGCTTTTGAATGTGTGAGTCCGAGAACTCAACCTGTCCAAAAGCATTTGTAGGCCCAATAACCTTGATATCCTGTGATTCCAACCATTTAATATCATGATTTCTTTTAACATTATGATCTGTGTATGTAAGATATAAAAAAATACCATTTTAGCCCACCTTTATAGTGTTTATATTCCAGTTCTCCGCAATAGCAGCTAAAATAGAATATACCTCTATCCAAATGCAAAATTACGCAATATATCCACCTGGCCTCCTAGGTTTATTCGGATCGGCCACAAACCTGACACATTCCTTGTAACTGAACCTGCTTCTTATAAAGCTATTCTTTTCCTAGACAGAGATGATTTATTTTTCGTAAACGACTTTCATCTTGCAAACAAACCTCCCTGGAACCCTGTGTTTCATTTGGAATTGAAACAAGACCTTTGAACGCCGACTTCGCCCGTAGAACTGGCAGGAAGTTTGTGGGTTTACCTAGCAAAATAGATTTAAAGAAATAATGAGTGAAATCACATTGCAATTTAAGTTCAGTTATTGATGATAATAATATAGAAGTAAAATAGAAATATATTTTCAATTTATGAGTACATTGTAAAAACTGTTGGCAGGACTAGGTGCATACCAAGAATTATCTGCATGCATTTTTTGTGCACCTGTTTAGGTATCACAAAATTTTTTCGTCAAATGCAGTCAGCCTATTAAAGTAATACGACTTCAAGCTAACAAGAGTGAGAACAATTTCTTAATTAACAACTACATGTTAGTTGAGTAGTGAATCTGAAAACAAAAGATCTGCTTTTTTCATTATTAACCGGATTAGCAATTAATAAACAAGATACCACCAATAAAACGTCTGTTCAAAATAACTTGTTTAGTTAAGTCAGTGAGTAAGTTACAGGGATTGTTAGATAAATCAATAGTGGCATGGTTGTGCACATTTGTGTTAGAGAATCAAAGAATCATTCTCATTGAAATACTTGAAAAATTTGACTAAAAATACCAAGCCCCTTCAGCAAGCATGTGCATAGTCATGATCCAGAAAATGAGTCACGCCTTTTTTATGGTTAATGAAGCCAACCCGCTTCTCAAATCTTGGAATATAAAAGGAGGGGTCTGATTGGTGTAAATAGGTTAAACTAATTTTCTGACCTCCGAAATACAGCCTACATTGGCGACACTAAAGGAAACACTAAAAAATATCATGGCACATTATAACAATCTCAGGGAAAGCCAGAAATGATAGCGATAGATAGGAAACAGCGAACAGGTGCTCCAAAATACAAAAAAAGGAACTTGTAACACTTCCTCTGTCTCAAACTTCGCCTACTCATTTTTGCACGAGATCAAAAAATATTTCTGAAAAAATGTTGTTTCAATAAGTTTTAAGCCATCAAAAGGAGTGTAAAACTGACGGCTAGAACTCAGAGCCTGACATACAAACAAGTTCAGATGGACCGATGAAACTATTATCTGCTATGGATGATAGAGGATATAGAAATCTTTGTTGAGGACATTATACGAATTTGTGGGGCATTTGAAAACACAAAGGTAGAACTTTTACTCCGCACCATATTTTAAAAAAATGTCTAAAAACGGGAATTTTCAACAAGATAAGAAATGTCTGTTAGAAAAAAACACTTAAGGAGTCTGAGGAAGAACTCAGGAGAACAAAGGTGAGAAAAGACCGAACTCAAGGTTGAAAACATATACAAGGAGCAAGACCAAACTATAGTTTGTTGAATGAATACACCATTAAACGTTAAATATTTTGTAGCTGAATAATTATTATATATTTTGGATACCCAAAAATAGTAAGAAGTTTGATATAATTTATCTGTACAAAGTCAGAGGAAACGTCGTTTGACATACTTAAGTTTCCCATATTAAGTCAAAAATGAAGACGTAGCAGCGAATAAAATTCTCTTTCCGATGACATCATTCACTAAAGCCGTGCATTTATATTTAAAATCACTGGAGACGAATAACTTTCAAGTGGTAATCAGTCGGGGCACGTGAATACTATGATGTTCAAGAACAGAATGGGAGATTTTTCAAGACTGTAGGAAATTACCATTATGACTATGATAAGCTTAATGAGTGACGGAATTCTTCTCAGCACAGAGACCAGGCTTAAGGTTGTACAAATTTCAAATGATTCGACTATGCACGGATGATAGAATCAAAGGCTTTTGTGATTTTGAACAGACAGTTTGTGAATTACTTTGAAGGCACTACTAGGGGCAACCAGGTAGCAAGGTGTTCAAAAGTAGAACTGTTAATGTCGAATTCCTCGTCAGACTTGGTCTATACTTTGAAGGTGCAGCTGAGGAGCATTTCTTTCAAGTAGTCAACAAGTACTGCAATGACTAAGTTTTTGAACTTTATGAAGTTATATATGGACCAGATAGTCAGGCTGATTAAGCACCACGATTCCTGAACCCTTATCTGACTACATCAAGATTATGTCGCCATTCTCCTTTAGTTCTTTGAGTTGTCTTTTACTTTCTTTGGCTAGAAGATATCAATAATTGGATTTGTGTCCACACACTGCGTGGTAATGGAGTTCTTTCTTGGTTTAGTTTGTACTGGCTGTTTCATAGTGCCTCTCAAAAGTGGTGCCTTTAGATCATTCATCTACCGAATATGCCCTTAATTAAGGTACATCGATGCTGTTTTTATCATGTACAATTAAGAATTTGATTTGAAAAACCTCCTCAACACTGTCAATACTGCATATTCATGCATAAATTCACTCTACAGTGTGTAGAAATTCATTGTTCCCATTCCTGGTTACCTTGATGGCAAGAAAATAACATAATTCTATCCAGAGACCATTACTAAGGTGAACTAAAAAGTTTATCAACTTCCGAAGCTGTCCCACACATAAGCAAACAGAGTCTTGTAAGTTCATTATGTTTAAGAATGCGGAAAATCTGCTCTGAAGATACGGCAGGTAGTGAGCTACATTTTCTAAGTAACATACTAATAGAAAACAGTCATTTACTTAAATTCATGAACTGTAACATGAAATGGAAGCCATAAACATAAAAGTTACTTACCATCTGAAAGAAAACTTTTCATAAGCCTAGGACAACATTGCAGCTAAAACCTCAAAAATATCCTCTCAGGATCTTTTAGAAAGCCGTTCCATTCTGCTAGCCAGAGAATCATATTTTGCAGAAGAGAAGATTTTCTGAGGACATCAGCAGAAAACAGCCACAAATGTAGTTCATCCGTATATTTAAGAATTTAACTGTTTTGATGCAATCAATGTGTAGCCACAGCTGGTAATGACTTTCTTTAGAAAAATTCAATGTGACTGGGCTTAAACGTCACATCAGTTCATGTGGTCTGCTTTTGTCGAAACAATGTAGCAAGTTCTAACTTTCTAGTTTCGATCCCCACGACAAACACAGTCGACGGCTGTACACTCTAGGTGACATAGTTCAGAATCGATCATAGGGACGCAGATGTAACCACACACTGTCTTCGTCCTAATTATCGTTTCACAGTTAACCACTTGCTTTACCATCTGTTCATCTCATTTCATGCCTCTCGCAAATTAAGGTCAGATTATTTCTATTTTCTTGCCTATCAACTAGCCGACCTGCTCCTTGATCTGCTCACACGAGACGTGACAGCTTGACTTGTACGCACTTATGTCAGGTTCTATGCACGTACTGAGTAAACTTTTCATAAATAATGCAATTTAGACTCAGAACAATCTTCAAAAACAACAAACCAAGCAGGTTTCCTAGTCAGAGAGTTATTCACCATTTCAGTTCACGTCTAATAACCAAAGGGGATCGCAAGTAGAAAGTTGCTTTTACTGAAAAGGATCATTAGCACTTCACATCCGTGATTGCATTCAGTCATAGCCCTATTAAATGTTTTTCGATTCAAAAAATGATTGCATCAAATATTTTCTGACCTAGAAGACTTAGCTAGTTATGATTTGAAGACTACTGCGCATTGTTGATCCATTGCAGCTTGGAGTTTTGGAGCAACTTTGGCAACAGGAAGAACTTTCAATGCTATCAATAGGGTTGTGTTCAACGGCTTATGCATTTTACGATTTGAATTTGGACAAGAATTATGTATAAGCATAACAATCTCTTCCCTAGAAGGTTATTCATTCCTTTTGGAAATGGTTTTAGGACAACCACTTTCATAATCTAAAAATGTCATGCTTGAACTTAGAGAAATAACTTTAATAGCTGAACGTTTTCTCCTCATCATATTGAAGACAGAAAGGAGGCCTAATCGTGTAGTAAAAAATACAAAGCAGTGTCAATAAGGCAGTACAATATCTTTTCCTTATTCACTGCGTAAGAAAGTTTCAGAGGTCATGGCAGAAGAATACAAAATTAAAGGCTAAAGTTGCCACCACACAGTTTTCGTTTCTGCGTTATCAGCTGACCCATTCAAGAGATGATTTTACAAAGAAATAACAGTTGGGAAAGGATTAACAAAGTCTCACAGTCCATTACCCTCAAACCAACAAATATTAAATATGCAACCATTTATTTATGAAATGCCATCCCCTAAGCCATATGAAATACATTCTCCGTGAAAAATTAATTTTGCGACATACAAAATTCGAAATGCAACGCGAGTGATAGTTTTGTCCTATGGAGCTATTCACTTGGTTGTAGTTCCTTAAACATGAAGATAAGTAATGACGTGGAACAACCATACACAGAAGCATATAGGCCAGAAAATTCGTGAGATCATTGATCGAATTGGGTTGCTTACGTAACAGTAGCCAGTCGAATATTCGAATCCACGGCCCGATAATTGCAGGTGCGGAATATAAGTAACCGGAAACATGTTTCAGGTTTTGAGTTAATTCAGTGCATCAGCTACATTCAGTAAATGTCCGACCGTAGATTAAAAGTTTCTATTTTGACAGTTCATCAGCTCACAACAGGCAGAAGTTGTTTTTCTCTGATGTGATAAGCTTGAGTAACACTATGGTGTTACTAGTTATTCCATACCGCAGTATGAATATTGACAACACCGTTTGGTGAACGACAGTCTACTCTCACCTTCTGAATAAATGGTTTAACAGGCTCAGGAATAAACATAAATTGAGCTTTTTTGAATAATCAAAGCTGTTTTCACAAGTTGGTCAAATTATAACCATGAAAGCAGAAAAACATTACGACAGGAGTTTGTGTTAACCTGCATTAGCGTCAGTTATCCTCAGTGCTATAAGCGTGGAATAAAATGAAATGAAAGTTACTTTGAAACAAAGATTCTGTGTAAGTATACGTTAAAGAGAAAACGGAGCAAAGACGGCCCGACAACTTTACATAATTATTATGACTGAATCTTTCGATTCATGTCACAAAACGTCGCCACATTTACGATCCAGTGTTCTAAGGCCACTGAATATTAGACAGCCACAAATAACTTTTGAAATTTATACGTGAATGATGTGTATGGTAAAAAGTGAATAGACGTTTAGGCTGTGATTACCAGAAAAGTTTATAAATTGCTCATCAATGATAACAACAGGAACAGGACATTAAATTATTCATCATAACTTCACAAACTAAAAGATATGCGGCAGTAATCACATCATTTATCAGCTCTTGCAACATTATATAAGGTAAATATCATTGCTAAATGTTAAGGTATAGAATTTTAAAATCCAAGTCGAAACCAGAAGAGTTAATTTCAGAAGCTAGATAGGCTTTTGTAAGCATAGTTAGACGAAAAACTAAGCTCTTCAAAGTTTCAAAACACAATATGCGCAAGTTTAGTAGTCTGAAAACCATTCATATAACTTACTTGCTATCGAGTCAGAATTGCCTACGCGAAACATGATAGAAAAGTTGAAATGTGTGCTTGTCAGTGGGTGCTTGTAGGTCATAAAATGCAACAGCCAATACCCATAATCCCAGCTCGTATAAACAATTAGGTCTCTTCTCGAGTGCTTCTCTGTCATGTGGGAGGGTTTCCGGCCTTCGATGGTTCATAGTGTAGTATGTTCACCCACCTGCCTGTTGTAACTCTGGTAAACATAACAGATCCCCTATCCAATATTGATGGTGAGAGCGTAGAAAACTGATGGTTCTTGATCTCTCGCGTTTAGCTCTTGGGGCTTGGTTCAAGTTGTCTGGTTCAACCCAGCAGGGGACGAGGTGGTCCTATCTTCTTTTTTGCGTTTAGCTTCGGTGAGGTGTGTGTTTTGTGGGTGAGTAAGTTGCAATTTGTAGGGTGATTGGGGGGCTACGGGTTGCTGGGACGGTTAGGGGACCATCGTGGCTCTTATCTGTGCAGGTGCCTGAATGGAAGTATTAAGGTAGTGGTAAGGAATGGAAAAGAAAAAAGAAGGAATCGGGAAAAAGAAAGAAAAGAGAAGAAAAAGTATTTGGGAGTCACCCGAAAGGTAAAAGTAGATAGCCAAGGTCTATTTCCTGGCGAAGAATCAGTTGGTAATGTGGGTGTATTAGGGAAAGGGATAGTGAGTGGCTGATATAGTGGAAGTGAGGGTGGACTAGTTAGGTTAATGGCCCCATGGGTACACCCTTGGTAGACCATGCGAGGTGCCGTAACTGTCTGACCGTCTCTTGAACGTGTCGACTGAGGGGACCACGACGATATGTCGCAGTAGGGCATCCCATAAAGCACATACTCTCAGGGACGAAAGTAAGACCCCTTAAGAATACAGTTCTTGTCATCTCTGAAAAAGGAGTGCAGTAAAAAGTGGAATGAATTTCATGCCAGGATGAAAAAAGTTGACACTATAAAGAAGAAACAGGCCGGAATGACCCTCTGTAGCCATAAAAAGTCTAACGTAGTGAAATTTCTGGAGCCTTTAAGGAAGCCTGTGCTTTAAAACATATCTAACGGCATGCCTTTTGGGGACAGCAACCCGACAGTTTCTAAAACTTGCAGTAGATTTCTTGTTCTACTTGGACGTACCGAGATTCAGAAGAGAATCTCTCAATGTTCATACTCTTACTTTTCATCGTATTCTACCTGTTGACACAAATTTCTCACTCAGTCAGGTGACATTGAAAAGCTTTTGAGCAAAACAGAACGTTTGGAAACAACTTACGCCGCAACATTTTTACTCACGAAAAATAACGGAACCCGATGTAGCCTTGAGATGAAAGTAACACAGCCAAGCATTCAGAATGGAACGCCGGTAGGAGTGAGTACCTGCAAGGTTGTCCCAGCCACAGGCAAGCTAAAAATGAAGGCGAAAAACCATAATTTGCCGCGAGGTTTTTGCCCGAAGAAAGTAGGCTGACCTCAAACTCACATACTTCACGAAAACATTTACCTACCAGTCACAAACAAGCGTGTTAACAATATGCCCTCTCAAATCACTGCAGAGCTGTATAGGAGAACTTATAAAAAGCTACAGCCGTGAACGAACATTACCACCAAACTCAGATTCACTCGTACCTAGCCAAAATAAGAATTATAAATGCTCATTTCTCACGAAAAAGTGTGCGTGAATTCTTTGCCGGTTTTACAAGCATAAATTTGTTGGTAATTTGGAGTTGTACACGTTTAAAACCCTTAGGCAGAACTCAGAGATTTAAACTCAATGCGAACATTAGACAGAGCAACTTTAAGCGTATTTTCTCTAGCAGCGGCGAAAAATACTTCGTTGTCAAGAGGGCTCAAACACAATATCAAGGAACATGAACCACTGCCTTGGAATAAAAAGCTCTCAATCCATATCCCTGGTCACAACTCTGATTTTAATGGCGGGTATTGTGCTACCACCCATCGCTTCAGCTAACTCGTGAATCACAACATGCCAACATCCAGTATTAGGACAAATCCTAGGAAGTCTAATCATCTCTACCAGAGCAAGGGACCGGGTTGCAACTCACGTGATAGTGACCCTAGGACTGCGCACACCACCCCACCTACCAGGTGCCTTAGCATGCCTGAGTCTCATGAATTGTTTGGGTCACCAGACGTTATGCGTGACTTTTAGTGTCCAGATTACATTTCATAAGCATAAGGTTTGAATCGTCCAAACTGGTTCCCACCGACAACGAACTTCAACATGTGATATCAGTAGGGAGCGAGGATATGTTGACAAACGAGCTGTCCCACCCAATAGACTTAGATGTCTCGAACCCACCAACCATTCCATCACCCCAAACCGATGGGGGGTCTCAGTTTGCTTTTAACACACCACACATCATTTATAGATACACTACATAAAAATGAACGTGACGAAATAAGTATTAATGGCACTGTAGGTAAAAACGTCAGTCACAGTGGCCTATTTCCGTTGTTGCTCATCAACGCACGTTCCCTGCCTATGGAACTATCTGCCCTAATAACAATGATTCTGATCACCTAACCGACCATATTACTTGCAACTGAATTATGGTGTGTTGTCTAGCATCCTGGATGCATAACTATCTATTGATGGATACACTCTCTGTGGCACTAATCAAGAACATAAGCTAGGTGGTGGCTGCCTTATTTATATATGTAACCAAGTTACTGCAAATAAAGCCGAAGACAACATGCTAAATGCAGTGCCTGACTCACTTTTGGTCACGTTGCACGATGAGACATACGAAATGCTCGTAGGTTGCGTTATATCGACCGACATGCCCAACAGAGAAAACGGATACACTTCTAGCTAGATCACTTGCGCATGCTCCCTCATATAGTGTGAATTTTAAATTGACTGCTGATGACTTCAGTCTTCCTGAAGTTGACTGGGTAGCTAGTTGTGGTCCCCAGTGCTTTGTTGAGATACTTACTAAGATAGATCTCTAAGACTGGAAGCATCATGCCCACGCACCTGCTCGTGATGAAAACATGTTGGACTTGGCATTTTGCCTTGACATTGCCCCAGTAACCACCTACGTTAGTGGTGACGTTTCCAGTAGCAATCACAGAATGGTATTCTATTGTCTACTTGTCCCAACACTAAATGCGCGCAGTGAGCAGACCTTAAGGATTACCGAATGTCGCAGCCATAAGGATACAGACTGAAAACTGCTCATAGAGCTTCTAAGGTTCTCCTCTTGGGATGACCCCCTTGTCACTGACTCACTAACAACCACGGTGCCCCTTTTTGAATGAGTGTTACGTAGGGTCCGGACACTGCCGCTCCCGTGAAAATGGTGAAACTACACCGCCACTTGGGATGTATTGCATCCATATGCCGCAAAAGCTCGGGCGACTGTCGAATCTGCACCGCTCCACCAGGGATTGCTCCTCACTGCACGCAATCAATGATACCCTGTAATCATTCGAGAGCTTACGCACACAAAGTACCTGAAGTGATGATTTAATAGCCCTTGGAGCTAGCACCAAAGTATAAGGTCTAAAATCACCTCTAAAGGAACGCCTTCAAGCAACAAGAGATATACAATACTTTCTTCATAACGAGGTAGCCCACAGCAACTCAGCCATGATTTGTGAACTGTTTAGTGACTGGTTCGGGAATTTTGGTTGTGAAACGCGTACCCCCATCAGCAGCACGCCACCTTCCAGCAGCCATTTCGCAACTGTAGAATTCACTTGCAAGAATATATCTGAAGCCATCAAAAGCCCAACACCCGCAAAAGGAATACAAACAGACAGCCTCGATTCAATAGCCCTTAGGAATAGCAAACAGGACCCTCCACTGATTATGATTAAATCGTTAGCTTTTTCGGTGGAAACTGAGACGTTTCCGACCGAGTGGAAAGCTAGCTTTATAAATCCGCACCATGAACCCGGGGCAAGGCTAGTGTCGGCAACTACAGACCCATCAATATAACCTCAGTCTCATCGCGAGTTGTGGAGAAAGTTGTAAAAGACGGCATGTCCGAATACCTACTGACAGAGGATTTTATAACAGTCTCAGCACGCGTTTCGGAAAACTAAATCTTGCATCACGTGTCATTTTGACTTCTTCAACCTGTTTACCAGTAGTCGTGAGGAACGCAAAATAGTCCTTGTTTTGTACTTTCACATATCGAAGGCATTTGACATGGTTTCTCTTCATGTACTATTCTAAAAGTTAAAAGCAATTGGTATAAGCAACCATCTGCTGAGCTGAAAAAAATCATACTTCAGTGATACCACCCAAATAAAGAAAATCGGTTCAGCTTTCGTTTATTCCTAGGTAAATCACAAGAGGAGTTGTGTAAGGTGGCGTTTTCGGGCCGGTTTTGTTTATTATCTACGTTAACAGCATCTTGGCTGCTTTGTCGCAGGTGACGTCTTTCTATACACCGAGACCTAAAAATCGTTTACTCTTGTTGTATCGTGAGGTAGGTAACACTGCAGCTGCTATTTGGCATGAGCAAGAAAGAGTTTCTTCTTGGTGTGCCGATGCCCTTTTACAGTTCAACATCAGCAAATACGGACGGATCTGCATTAGTAACAGTAACCTTGACTTGATACTTGAAGTATCTGGACAACTGCTACCAGAACTTAGTTCTGTCTCAGACGTATGGCTCAGATATTCCAGTGTATCAAAACTAAGTTATACAGACTTCTAGGGTGCCTCATTCGTAACTTTTATAGTACTGAATCAGGGGTCCTACGCTACAAAGTATGCATCCTCCAATTCTAGAATACTGTTCATTTGTCATGGGTAGCTTTCGGATGGACGAGAAACTAAAGAACGAAGGGGTACAACGCTGCAGCACATTAAGAACGCTGGGCGCTGATTGCAGTCTAGACTACATCTCCGGACACAACCTGTTCGGACTCGAACCTCTCTGGAAGAGGCGGCTCAGAATTAATCCCTTGTTTTACTGTAAACCACTTCGTAAGAAAATGTGCTCATGTGGCACAGAAATTAAAATAGTGGTGACATCTACTTGCAATACGCGTAATTGCAAACCATTAGCTGAAACTGCGTATTTTAAAGCCAGTGTGC